CGTCCCTTACCCCTTATTTATTCCCACCCACGCACCCATCCCCATGCCCAACAGGTGGTGTGGCAGCTGGGCCGCATGGAGACATCTCTGCGAATGCATGTCCCTCACCGTCCCTTACCCCTTATTTATTCCCACCCACGCACCCATCCCCATGCCCAACAGGTGGTGTGGCAGCTGGGCCGCATGGAGACATCTCTGCGAATGCATGTCCCTCACCGTCCCTTACCCCTTATTTATTCCCACCCACGCACCCATCCCCATGCCCAACAGGTGGTGTGGCAGCTGGGCCGCATGGAGACATCTCTGCGAATGCATGTCCCTCACCGTCCCTTACCCCTTATTTATTCCCACCCACGCACCCATCCCCATGCCCAACAGGTGGTGTGGCAGCTGGGCCGCATGGAGACATCTCTGCGAATGCATGTCCCTCACCGTCCCTTACCCCTTATTTATTCCCACCCACGCACCCATCCCCATGCCCAACAGGTGGTGTGGCAGCTGGGCCGCATGGAGACATCTCTGCGAATGCATGTCCCTCACCGTCCCTTACCCCTTATTTATTCCCACCCACGCACCCATCCCCATGCCCAACAGGTGGTGTGGCAGCTGGGCCGCATGGAGACATCTCTGCGAATGCATGTCCCTCACCGTCCCTTACCCCTTATTTATTCCCACCCACGCACCCATCCCCATGCCCAACAGGTGGTGTGGCAGCTGGGCCGCATGGAGACATCTCTGCGAATGCATGTCCCTCACCGTCCCTTACCCCTTATTTATTCCCACCCACGCACCCATCCCCATGCCCAACAGGTGGTGTGGCAGCTGGGCCGCATGGAGACATCTCTGCGAATGCATGTCCCTCACCGTCCCTTACCCCTTATTTATTCCCACCCACGCACCCATCCCCATGCCCAACAGGTGGTGTGGCAGCTGGGCCGCATGGAGACATCTCTGCGAATGCATGTCCCTCACCGTCCCTTACCCCTTATTTATTCCCACCCACGCACCCATCCCCATGCCCAACAGGTGGTGTGGCAGCTGGGCCGCATGGAGACATCTCTGCGAATGCATGTCCCTCACCGTCCCTTACCCCTTATTTATTCCCACCCACGCACCCATCCCCATGCCCAACAGGTGGTGTGGCAGCTGGGCCGCATGGAGACATCTCTGCGAATGCATGTCCCTCACCGTCCCTTACCCCTTATTTATTCCCACCCACGCACCCATCCCCATGCCCAACAGGTGGTGTGGCAGCTGGGCCGCATGGAGACATCTCTGCGAATGCATGTCCCTCACCGTCCCTTACCCCTTATTTATTCCCACCCACGCACCCATCCCCATGCCCAACAGGTGGTGTGGCAGCTGGGCCGCATGGAGACATCTCTGCGAATGCATGTCCCTCACCGTCCCTTACCCCTTATTTATTCCCACCCACGCACCCATCCCCATGCCCAACAGGTGGTGTGGCAGCTGGGCCGCATGGAGACATCTCTGCGAATGCATGTCCCTCACCGTCCCTTACCCCTTATTTATTCCCACCCACGCACCCATCCCCATGCCCAACAGGTGGTGTGGCAGCTGGGCCGCATGGAGACATCTCTGCGAATGCATGTCCCTCACCGTCCCTTACCCCTTATTTATTCCCACCCACGCACCCATCCCCATGCCCAACAGGTGGTGTGGCAGCTGGGCCGCATGGAGACATCTCTGCGAATGCATGTCCCTCACCGTCCCTTACCCCTTATTTATTCCCACCCACGCACCCATCCCCATGCCCAACAGGTGGTGTGGCAGCTGGGCCGCATGGAGACATCTCTGCGAATGCATGTCCCTCACCGTCCCTTACCCCTTATTTATTCCCACCCACGCACCCATCCCCATGCCCAACAGGTGGTGTGGCAGCTGGGCCGCATGGAGACATCTCTGCGAATGCATGTCCCTCACCGTCCCTTACCCCTTATTTATTCCCACCCACGCACCCATCCCCATGCCCAACAGGTGGTGTGGCAGCTGGGCCGCATGGAGACATCTCTGCGAATGCATGTCCCTCACCGTCCCTTACCCCTTATTTATTCTCACCCACGCACCCATCCCCATGCCCAACAGGTGGTGTGGCAGCTGGGCCGCATGGAGACATCTCTGCGAATGCATGTCCCTCACCGTCCCTTACCCCTTATTTATTCCCACCCACGCACCCATCCCCATGCCCAACAGGTGGTGTGGCAGCTGGGCCGCATGGAGACATCTCTGCGAATGCATGTCCCTCACCGTCCCTTACCCCTTATTTATTCCCACCCACGCACCCATCCCCATGCCCAACAGGTGGTGTGGCAGCTGGGCCGCATGGAGACATCTCTGCGAATGCATGTCCCTCACCGTCCCTTACCCCTTATTTATTCCCACCCACGCACCCATCCCCATGCCCAACAGGTGGTGTGGCAGCTGGGCCGCATGGAGACATCTCTGCGAATGCATGTCCCTCACCAACAGGTGGTGTGGCAGCTGGGCCGCATGGAGACATCTCTGCGAATGCATGTCCCTCACCGTCCCTTACCCCTTATTTATTCCCACCCACGCACCCATCCCCATGCCCAACAGGTGGTGTGGCAGCTGGGCCGCATGGAGACATCTCTGCGAATGCATGTCCCTCACCGTCCCTTACCCCTTATTTATTCCCACCCACGCACCCATCCCCATGCCCAACAGGTGGTGTGGCAGCTGGGCCGCATGGAGACATCTCTGCGAATGCATGTCCCTCACCGTCCCTTACCCCTTATTTATTCCCACCCACGCACCCATCCCCATGCCCAACAGGTGGTGTGGCAGCTGGGCCGCATGGAGACATCTCTGCGAATGCATGTCCCTCACCGTCCCTTACCCCTTATTTATTCCCACCCACGCACCCATCCCCATGCCCAACAGGTGGTGTGGCAGCTGGGCCGCATGGAGACATCTCTGCGAATGCATGTCCCTCACCGTCCCTTACCCCTTATTTATTCCCACCCACGCACCCATCCCCATGCCCAACAGGTGGTGTGGCAGCTGGGCCGCATGGAGACATCTCTGCGAATGCATGTCCCTCACCGTCCCTTACCCCTTATTTATTCCCACCCACGCACCCATCCCCATGCCCAACAGGTGGTGTGGCAGCTGGGCCGCATGGAGACATCTCTGCGAATGCATGTCCCTCACCGTCCCTTACCCCTTATTTATTCCCACCCACGCACCCATCCCCATGCCCAACAGGTGGTGTGGCAGCTGGGCCGCATGGAGACATCTCTGCGAATGCATGTCCCTCACCGTCCCTTACCCCTTATTTATTCCCACCCACGCACCCATCCCCATGCCCAACAGGTGGTGTGGCAGCTGGGCCGCATGGAGACATCTCTGCGAATGCATGTCCCTCACCGTCCCTTACCCCTTATTTATTCCCACCCACGCACCCATCCCCATGCCCAACAGGTGGTGTGGCAGCTGGGCCGCATGGAGACATCTCTGCGAATGCATGTCCCTCACCGTCCCTTACCCCTTATTTATTCCCACCCACGCACCCATCCCCATGCCCAACAGGTGGTGTGGCAGCTGGGCCGCATGGAGACATCTCTGCGAATGCATGTCCCTCACCGTCCCTTACCCCTTATTTATTCCCACCCACGCACCCATCCCCATGCCCAACAGGTGGTGTGGCAGCTGGGCCGCATGGAGACATCTCTGCGAATGCATGTCCCTCACCGTCCCTTACCCCTTATTTATTCCCACCCACGCACCCATCCCCATGCCCAACAGGTGGTGTGGCAGCTGGGCCGCATGGAGACATCTCTGCGAATGCATGTCCCTCACCGTCCCTTACCCCTTATTTATTCCCACCCACGCACCCATCCCCATGCCCAACAGGTGGTGTGGCAGCTGGGCCGCATGGAGACATCTCTGCGAATGCATGTCCCTCACCGTCCCTTACCCCTTATTTATTCCCACCCACGCACCCATCCCCATGCCCAACAGGTGGTGTGGCAGCTGGGCCGCATGGAGACATCTCTGCGAATGCATGTCCCTCACCGTCCCTTACCCCTTATTTATTCCCACCCACGCACCCATCCCCATGCCCAACAGGTGGTGTGGCAGCTGGGCCGCATGGAGACATCTCTGCGAATGCATGTCCCTCACCGTCCCTTACCCCTTATTTATTCCCACCCACGCACCCATCCCCATGCCCAACAGGTGGTGTGGCAGCTGGGCCGCATGGAGACATCTCTGCGAATGCATGTCCCTCACCGTCCCTTACCCCTTATTTATTCCCACCCACGCACCCATCCCCATGCCCAACAGGTGGTGTGGCAGCTGGGCCGCATGGAGACATCTCTGCGCATTCACACGCCTCGCCACCCTTCCACCCTCCCTTTAGCTCTCCCACCCACCCATCTTCAAACTCCCCCATGCCATTCCATCCCACCAGACTGTATGGCAGCTGGACCGAATGGAGACCTCTCTGTGCATTTACGTTTCCCACCAACCTCTCTTTTACTCTCCCACTATCCCCAACCCCATGCCCACTCCCACCAGACTGTATGGCAGCTGGACCGAATGGAGACCTCTCTGCGCATTTATCTTCCTTGCCTTCCAACATCCCCCATCTACCCTACCATACCGCACCATACCCCTTCAAATCCCCAACAGACCGTGTGGCAGCTGGGCAGCTGGACCGCATGGAGACATCTCTGCGCATGCGCCGGCGTGTGAAGCCATGCCTCTCCACAACCGCCACTGCCACGCTCCGTGCTTCTGGTCCCCAGGGGACCATAAAGGGTGCTGCTGTAGCTGCAGAAGGTGCCGTTGCTGATGCCAGTACTGATGCTGCTGCTGAACCAGCAGCAGCTTCAGCAGCAGCCTCAGCAGGAGACACAGGAACGAGTGCTGCAGCAGATGCAGGAGCTGGTGCTGCAGCAGTGGATGAGGCAGTGCAACGGCTTGGGGGGGCCCTGCCCGCCCCTCTAGGGGGGTTCATGAGGGGAGGCGTGGGGAAGTGGGGAGAGGAGGGGGGAGCGGAGGGGGAAGGGGAGAAAGAGCAGGAAAAGGGAGAGGAGGAGGAAGGAGGGAAGGGAGGAGGAGAGGGAGAAGCAGAGGGAGCTGGGAAAGAGGAGGGAGGCGAGGAGGGAGGGGCAGGGAGGGGTGCTGTGGATGAGAGAGACGGAGCTACAGCAGGGGCTGTTGCTGAGAGAGAAGGGCTGGGGAGTGCAGTAGCAGAGGAGACTGTAACGAGGAAAGAGGTGGGAGATGGTGTTGTGGGTGGTGGTGTGGAAGGGGGTGCAAGCGGAGGGAGGAAGCATAAGGCAAGTGGATCGTCCAGAGGTGGGGAGCAGAGGGCGAAACCGGGCGGCGTGGAGTGGACGCTAGTGGCGGATGTGGACGGCGAGGAGGTGCTGGCTGACGTGGCAGCAATGATGGTGCAGCCGCTGCGAACAGTGAAGGGGCGGCTGGTGGTTACCACCACTCGCCTGTGGTTCCACGTGGATTCATCTGTGCCCTTCCGAGAGAGAGGGTGCGGTGGAAAGGGCGAGACAAGTGAGAAAGGAGAGGTGGGAGAGAAGGGTGAGGTGGGTGGAGGGGAGAAGGAGGGTGGGCAGGATGTTGCAGAGACGGAGGCATTGGTTTCTAGTAGCAACGGTGAAAAAGGTGGCAAGGCTGGCAGGAGCGGAGGAGCGACAGGAGGAGAGCGGGCTGAGCGTGGAAGCATGGGCGATCGCGTCTGGCGGCTGTCGTCTGTTCGCGAAGTGCTGACTCGTCGGTGAGGCTCCGGGACTGGATGTCATGGCGGTGTGTGGTGGATTTCACTATGTGTTTCCCTTGGTTTGGCAAGCAACTTCTGATGTGCCTCAAAACGTCTGTTGCTGACTCAACAGTGGTACCTCTTGCTCCGTTCTGCCCTGGAGGTCTTCATGATCGACCGATCCAACTTCTTCTTTGCTTTTGAGGGAGCACTCACTCACTCACATGCACCCTCCCCCCTTACCCCCCTCCATCTCTGCTCCAGCTACCTGTTGCGGCGCTCTGCCCTGGAGATATTCATGATCGACCGATCCAACTTCTTCTTTGCCTTTGAGGGAGCCGAGGAGCGCAAGAGAGTGCACCGCGCCATTGAGAGGGCCCACCCGCCGCACTTCCAGCACCTCTTCTCCGCCTCTCAGGTAGAGTGCCGCACTCGCTTGCAGGTGATTGCTTAGGGTGTGATAGAGAAGGCCCACCCGCCACGTCTCCAGCACCTCCTGGCGGCCTCACAGGTGAGTATAGTGCATTCAGTCAACCAGAGCAGTGCTCTAGAGGTGCTCACGATGGATAGACCGATCCAACTTCTTCTTTGCGTTTGAGGGAGCGGAGGAGCGCAAGAGAGTGCACCGCGCCATCGAGAGGGCCCACCCGCCGCACTTCCAGCACCTCTTCTCCGCCTCTCAGGTGCCTGCCTATTCTCTTTCGGGCTCATTTTCTCACTTCTTATCCTTGTAACAGAGACACTCGCTTCCAAGCCCGACTTTGGCCTCCACTCTGTTCCTCCATGTTTAGCCGGCCTGCTGTTTCTATCATGATGTAAATTTTGTTTTGTACTTGCCTTTGCTTTTGTTCCCCATGTATGTCTGTTCGTGTGTGTGTGTGTGTGTGTGTGTGTGTGTGTGTGTTCTCTGTGTTGCAGCGACCGGAGACCATTCTTGAGAAGCTTCAGCTCACCAAGAAATGGGTCAACAGAGAGGTATGGGACAGACACTCTCTGTGGCACGCACATGTATGTGCACCACATTTCCGCTTTCCTCAAACACTCTAGCTGCCCGATTTTCCATGAAACTCAACCACTGCTCCTCTGCTCTACTGCTGCAAAACACTCCCCTGAAATCCTCCACTCCCCATCAGATCACCAACGTCGAGTACCTCATGCATCTCAACACTCTCGCAGGCCGATCCGTCCCACCGCCCTGTCGTTTCCCGCTTACTTCTCACTCCTCCACTCTCTCTTCACTCCTCTCCACTCCCCATCAGATCACCAACTTTGAGTACCTCATGCTTCTCAACACTCTTGCAGGCCGATCCTTCAACGATGTCACCCAGGTGTGTGCTCTGCATCGTGCTTGCATCACGCTTGCATCATGCTATTTCTCATCATCCATCATGATGCTATGTCCAGCTGTATGTCGCATACAGATTGATTCTGTTCGAGTTGCACAGGGAGTAGAGATGCTGGGGCCATTCATAGAGTTTCCAGAATACGCCTACACGGCATTGATTTTCTTTAGCTCGTCATACCCCCACAAAGCACTGGGTCTTTTTTAGTCCATCTTACCCCCATCCGTGTTGCCCTGGCCTGCTTGCATGCAGTACCCCGTCTTCCCCTGGGTAATTCAGGATTATACCTCCAAGGAGCTCGATCTCACCAAAGCAGCCACGTTCCGCGACCTCTCCAAGGTAACTTCGCTGAACTGCTCACAGGCACCCTGGTTTTTCTCTCTCACTTTTCTCCCTATTGTTATCCTGATTTTTCTCCCTTTCTCCTTTCTCATCTAGCTTTCGGTCCCCTCCCATCTGCCACCCTAATGCTTCGTGCGATGTGACATCCGCTCCCCTTCCCCCCTCCTCTCCTCATTTCCCTCCCTACCACTCTCTTCCCCATCCCACCAGCCCATGAGAGCGTTGACTCAATCTTGCCTGACGAAGCTCAACTAGCGTTACGAGCCATTTGACGACCCAGTCAACTCTTTTCGCCCCTCCGCATTTCACTCCCTACCACTCCCTTTACCTACCTCCAGCCCATGGGAGCGTTGACTCAGCCTCGCCTGGCGAAGATAATCGAGCGCTACGAGTCGTTTGACGACCCTGTGATCCCCAAGTTCCACCACGGCACGCACTACTCCAGCGCTGCCATTGTGAGTGGCAGCTTTAGGAATTTACGTTATTCCGTTACCATTGTCACACTCTTGACATTGCCCTTCTCGCTCCTCTGATGATCCAATCATTCCCAACCCAAGTTCCACCACGGCACTCAATACTCCAGCGCCGCGATCGTGAGTGTGCTTTAGCACTGTCACTCCCGTAGTGATTCGCTCAACTCTCTTCTCTTGTCGCCGTGTCCTTTGCTCCTCTCACGATCCGGTGATCCCCAAGTTCCACCACGGCTTCCACTACGCCAGGGCTGCAATTGTGGTTGACTGCTTTAACAGTCCGCGACTCCCACCACATGCCTTCACTCTTACCACATCCCCACCACTCCAACCCCACATTTCCCTTTCCCTTTCCCACACCCACTCACCCCAGGCCTCCCACTATCTCGTGCGTCTCGAGCCCTTCACATCCCTAGCTGTATCCTTGCAAGGAGGAAAGCTAGACCATCCCGACCGGCTCTTCCGGGACGTGGCGAGCACGTGGAGAGGGGTGACCACTGATATGGCCGATGTTAAAGAGCTGGTGAGATGGAAGGAGGGGGAGATGGGGTGATTGAGAGATGTGTCTGCAGTGGGCAGTGAGAGAGAGAGAGAGCAGCAGGCTGGACCATCCCTACCGGCTCTTCCGAGATATGGCGAGCACGTGGAGAGGGGTTACTACTGATATGGCCGATGTGAAGGGGCTGGTGAGAACGAAACAGGGGAGTGGGGTAATTGGCTTGGCATGTGTGGGTGGGAGGGGCTGTGTGTTGGCTAAGCACGTGGCAATGGGCCTCGACTGGGTCTTCATAGACGACGTGGCGAGCACGTGGCGGGGGTTACCACTGACATGGCTGATGTTAAAGAGCTGTTGAGAAGGAAACAGGGAAGCAAGGTAGTTGACCTGTGTTGACTGGGCTAAGCTTGCTCCGACCAGGTCTTGGCGAGCACGTGGAGGGGGGTTACGACCGACATGGCTCATGTGAAGGAGCTGGTGAAAAGGGGGGGCAGTGGCATGATTGGGGAGGGAGGTGGTTGAGATGAGAGATGTGTCGGCCGTGGCCATTACCACTACCATTACCATTATTATTACCGTTATCATTACCATTATCATTACTATTACCACTGCCATTACCATTACCATTATCAATACCATTACTCTTACTATTACCACTACTATTACCATTACCATTACCACTGCAATTACCATTACCATTACCATTATCATTACCATTACCATTACCATTACCATTACCATTACCACTACCATTACCATTACCACTACCATTACCATTACCATTACCATTATCATTATCATTACTCTTACCATTACCAATACCATTACTATTACCACTACCATTACCATTACCATTACCATTACCACTACCACTACCATTATTATTACCACTACCATTACCATTACCATTACCATTATCATTACCATTATCATTACCATTACCATTACCATTACCATTGCCATTACCATTACCATTACCACTACCATTACCATTACCATTACCACTGCCATTACCATTACTATTACCATTATCATTACCATTACCACTACCATTACCATTACCATTACCATTACCATTACCAATACCATTACCACTACGATTATCATTACGAGTACGATTACTATTTCCATTACCAGTATCATTACTCTTATCATTACCACTACCATTACCATTACCACTATCATTACCATTACCATTACCACTACCAATACCTATATATTTTCCACTACCATTACCATTACCACTACCACTACCATTACCATTACCATTAACTACGACTACCATTACCATTACTATTACCATTACCATTACTATTACCATTACCATTACCATTACCATTACTATTACCACTACATTTACCATACCATTACCACTCTACCATCACCATTACCATCACCATTACCATTATCATTACCATTACCATTACCACTACCACTACCATTATATTTTCCACTACCATTACTATTACCACTATCACTACCATTATTATTACCATTATTATTGTCATTACCACTACTATTACCATTACCATTACCATTGCTTACCTATACCATTACCCTTACCATTACCACTACCATTACCATAATCAGTACTATTACCATTACTATTACCATTACGATTACCATTACCATTACTATTATCATTACCATTACCACTACCATTACCATTACCACTACCACTACCATTACCATTACCACTACCACTACCATTACCATTACCATTACCACTACCATTACTATTACCACTACCTTTACCATACCATTACCACTACCATCACCATTACCATTATCATTACCACTACCATTACCATTACCATTACTGGGCTAGCAGTGCGGTTGACTTTGCCCATCCCTCCCACCCACTCCTCTCACCACTTTGCTTTCTGTGGCAGATCCCCGAGTGGTTCTGCCTTCCTGAGATGTTTCAGAACGTCAACAGACTTGCGCTGGGAGCCACACAGCAAGGAGAGGAGATTGGTGATGTGGTCTTGCCGCCCTGGGCGGACAGCGCGGTTGACTTTGTGCACAAGCAGCGGGCGGCGCTGGAGAGCGAGTACGTCAGCAGCAACCTGCACCATTGGATCGACCTCATCTTCGGGTACGTGCGATCTGCACCGATGGATTCACTTGCCATGGGCATGTGAACACGTGGTTTGGATTGGACCACGTATGTTTCGTCGAATGCCCGAAGCCAAGTCATGATTCAGCGACGTGTTTGGCAGGGATGGCATGCGCTGTGTTGTCTGCTCTACCTCACCCCTACTTCAACCCTACCTGAACCCTAGCTCCATGCCATTATCTCGTGTTCTCCGCCCTGTTCCCACCATGCAGGTGCAAGCAGATGGGGCCAGAGGCAGTGAAAGCGCACCAATTTGCTGTTCAATCCATCCCACCCTAGTTCAGTCTCTATCCCACTATTGTGTCCCCTCCAACCCCCCCGCCCCTTTCCCAACCGTGCAGGAGCAAGCAGACGGGTTCAGAGGCAGTGAAGGCGCACAACGTGTTCTGCACCTTAACTCGCTCGCCTCATCCCATCTTGGTGTCCCTATCTGGCCCCCTCCTCCCATTCCCCCCCCCCCCCCCTGTTCCTCTCCGCCACCTTTCGTTCCCACCGTGCAGGTACAAGCAGGCGGGGCAAGAGGCAGTGAAGGCGCACAACGTGTTCTGCACCTTAGCTCGCCCATCCCGCTATCTGGTGGTCCCCCCTCCTAACCTTCCACCAATCCTTATCCTCCCTCCCCTTCATTCCCACCCTGCAGGTACAAGCAGGCGGGGCAAGAGGCAGTGAAGGCGCACAACGTGTTCTGCACCTTAGCTCGCCCATCCCGCTATCTGGTGGTCCCCCCTCCTCCTAACCTTCCACCAATCCTTATCCTCCCTCCCCTTCATTCCCACCCTGCAGGTACAAGCAGGCGGGGCAAGAGGCAGTGAAGGCGCACAACGTGTTCTGCACCTTAGCTCGCCCATCCCGCTATCTGGTGGTCCCCCCTCCTCCTAACCTTCCACCAATCCTTATCCTCCCTCCCCTTCATTCCCACCCTGCAGGTACAAGCAGGCGGGGCAAGAGGCAGTGAAGGCGCACAACGTGTTCTGCACCTTAGCTCGCCCATCCCGCTATCTGGTGGTCCCCCCTCCTCCTAACCTTCCACCAATCCTTATCCTCCCTCCCCTTCATTCCCACCCTGCAGGTACAAGCAGACGGGGCAAGAGGCAGTGAAGGCACACAACGTGTTCTTCTATGTAACGTACGAGGGGGCAGTTGATATCGACTCGGTTCACGACCCTGTGAGTGAAAGGGCTCGACCCAAAGGTCACATTTTGTTCTTCTATGTTTGTATGTGTGGGGGTTAATTGTGTGTGAGAGTGTGTTTTTTTTTCTTTTCTTTTCTTTAAATTATTTATTCTTCTAAGTTTCCTTATCCTCACTACTTGTCCCTGCCCTTTCACAATGCCTCAGGTCACTCGTCAAGGCCTGCAGGATCAGATTAAGTACTTCGGCCAGACGCCCTCACACCTCTTCACCGCTCCTCACCCCAAGCGCATTCCTCTCGACCGAGCCCTGCACCTGCATGTACGTGGCTCAAATTTTAGTTCCATCCGCTATTGACTCATACATGTAACAGTATAATTAGCTGCCTTCAACTATTTTGTACAGTTATCCTCTGGCCAAGCTCTTTACCTGCATGTACGTGGCTCAGTGGGAGAGAGTGACCTGCTCAAGCTTTTTTAACACATATGGTTTTCTCCCTTTTCCTTGCTCCCTCAAGCTCCCACCCCACCCACCCCACCCACTCCCCCACTCCTTTCCTCTCCTTTTCTACTCCCTTAACCCCCCTCCTTCTTCCCCCACCCCAACCCCCTCTCCCAGACCATATTCCGCAAGCCCAACGAGATTCTCCCCTACGTGCTCCCCCGCCCCGAGACCCTCAATGTGCCGGCCGCCCGGCTGCACGCCACGTCAGACGCGATCATCACCGTCGATCACAACGTGCCAGCCTGTCACATCGCCGTGCACCAGTGGCAGCCCAACACGCCGGACGGCCACGGCTGGCCTTTTCTGTTCCAGCCCGGGCGGGCGTCTCTTTCGGGCGGCGCGCTCCTCCGCATGCTCAAAAGCTCAGCCCCGGGGTTCGGTGCGGGCGGCATAGTGGCAGGGCTAGGTATGGGAATCGGGGGAAGCGGCTTCGGAGGTTCGGTTGGGACAGGCGGAGGGTTGGGTGGAGCTGGTTCGGGAGTGGGGGTAGGGGGAGGAGGAGGAGGAGGAGCAGGGGACGGAGCAGGAGGAGGGGGTGGAGGAGGAGGAGGGATGGTTTCTGAGACGTCGATTTACCCGCGGCTGCTCGCACTCCCTGCGAGGGGCATTCGCCGCCCAAAGGAGCTTATGGCGATCACGCCGGACGGCAAGAATCTGATCACGGGCGGCCACGCGGACTGTTCTGTGAAGCTAATTTCACTCGATACCACCAGAGTGGTCGAGTCAGCAGTGGTGCATACCGCTCCTGTCACCTCCCTGAGCCTATCTCCTGAAGGGGCGACACTGGTTACAGGGGCAGCAGACGGGACGGTGATGCTGTGGCATGTGAACACCTCAGCTTCGCTCGCTGCTGCTGCTTCGAGCCTCGCTGCGAGCATGCTGGGAACGCCAGACAGTGCTGCTTCTTCTGCTTCTCAGGGGTTCTCGGGAGGGCCGCATGACCCATCCCTTGTGTCGTCTCCTGAAGCAGCGAGTAGGAGGGAGGAGGACGAGGAGGAGGAGGAGGAGGAGGAGGAGGCGCGGAGAAGGCGAGGCAGCGGCAGCAGCGATTCTCCTGCTGTGTCTAGTCTCGCTGGTAGGATGCTCTCTGGTCTCGCTGCTTCTAGTCTCGCTGCCGGCCGAGCGTCTATAGAGCAAGTCAAGAAAAAGCTGAGGCGACTGGAGGGTCCCGTGCATGTGCTGAGAGGGCATACAGATGAGGTGGTCTGCTGCGCCGTTTCCTCGGACCTAGATATCGCCGCCTCGTCTTCCCTCTCCTCGGGTGTTCTTTTACACTCGATTATGCGCGGAAAGTTTCTTCGCGCCCTGCCCGGGGTCGCCCGGGCAGACGTGCTCGCGATTTCCCCCGAGGGGCTGGTGGTGGTGTGGGAATTAGCTAAGCGTGCGCTAAGAGTTTTCACGATAAATGCCGAGCCGGTGGCGGCTGTGGGGGTTCCGGAGGAGGATGGGGATGTGAGTGCGGTGCAGATCTCTGCAGATGGGTTGTATGTGGTGGTGGGGACGGATTGCACCAGGTGGCGATACATGAGGGAGAAGGAGAGGGAGAGAGAGAGGCAGAGGGCAGCAGTGGTGGTGGGTAAGAGTGTGGGAGTGAGGAAGGTCGGTGGGGATGAGAGAAGTGGAAACAGCGGGAAGAGTGGAGCGGGAGGAGAGAGAGAGGAGGAGGGAGAGAGGGTGGGGAGAGGGGGGGATGGGAAGGAGCCGTTTGAGGAGGAGGGGTTGCCGAACTGGAGGGATTCGGATCAAGGAGGGTCCAAGAGGGAGAGAGGGTCTGCCATTTCGCTGCTTGAGATCTTCACTCTCAAGGTACGTACAGATGCTTTTTTAATGCTCCTCAAAATCCATTTCAAGGTATAGGCCTTGAATGGTTTGCAAGTTGGCTCAAGACTCAGATACAGGCCTCGAATGCGTGTTGCTAAGTTTAATGTGCTGCTATTGATGCACCTCTATTGTTGCACACTGGGAAAACACTTTACGGTACCTTTCACACGACTCACCGTACCTGCATGTCCCCTGTATAAGCATGCTCGGTACCAGTGCAACCAGGTGCTAGCACTGCCCGTGTCTCCCAACCACCATGTCTCTTCCTCCTCTACTCCATTCCATTCCATCCCCTTTGCAAGCAGGCCCTGTATCGCTTCAAGCTGCCGGAGAGCAGTGATGTGACAGCCCTGGCCCTGTCAGCAGACAACACCAACCTCATCTGCTCTGCTGACCATCACCGCTCCTTATTCTCTTCTTCCATTCCATTCCATCCCCTTTACAAGCAGGCACTGTATCGCTTCAAGCTGCCCGAGAGCAGCGATGTAACGTCCCTGGCCCTGTCAGCAGACAACACCAACCTCATTTGCTCTGCTTCTGTCGTGCTCTCCCCGGGCCACCTCATTCTCTACAGTAACCCAATTGTAAGCGCTTATTTCCGCCGTCTTCCTGGTGGTGACTTCATTCTAATCTATATCGGTCGGTACATTTCGTTGTTTTGGCAAGTCTTTTCCATGTTCCTTTCCTCTCCACCTTGCTGTGTAGCACAAAGCCCACTAATCAAGCATCCTAATCTTTTATCCTTTTCATCCTCTAATCTAACCCGCATTGCTTGCGTCTTTCAGCTAAGTGTGAAGATGGTGGATCAGATGCTTAGGCTGGGATGGGAGGGAGGAGGCCTTCAGTCAGTGATGCAGCAGCAGCCAGAACGAGCATCTGCTTCTCCTCCACCTCCCACCAAAACCTCCTCTCCCGCCTCTCAAAGTGCATCAACTTCGTCCCCAGCACGAGTGACTGGTTTATATTTGTGACCCTGGTCAGAAGGAGCGTTTTCTTTCCCTCCACCTTCCACCAAAACCTCTGCTTCCTCCTCTCAAAGCGCATGAACTTCGTCCCCAGCACGAGTGTCTGGTCTCTACTTATGACCCTGGCCAAAACCACTGTGATGGCAAAAGGATTCACTATTGTAGACGCACAAGTGATAAGGTACCTAGTTTTTGTAGCTGCGAGATCCCTTAGCAATATGAACTGAATGTTGTTGCAGATAAGGGTAGGCAATTGGATGTAGTACGGTAGTAATACGGCAAATCGAAACTCATTGAGAAGACACCGCGCTCATATTTGTAGCGGGTCGGTCAAAGTCGAGGATTTTCATGCTGGTTTCCTGCCGCGGTTGCGACAACACCTTTCTCAGCTGCCCTTCTACTTTTCAATACTGTTTTTCGGGTCTCAGCATTTGAGCGATTTTCCGCGCAGCGTGCGTTGTCAAGCAGCTTCAGCCTTATCCTGCGCTGCGCTTCTTTCCTGGCGCGGCATTCTCTAGGTGCCTCGAGAATCGTCTCCTGTTGGTGCTATACCTCTCGGTATTGTCAGCCAGCAGACTGGCATGAGCAGCAGCGCTAGAATTCGCCGGAAGCTGATCGAATACTCCGCGCAGGGGTCTTTAAAGAAGATCAAAGCTCTCTTGAAAGGCGCAGCTGGGCGATCGTCGGCGTCGGACGCATCTGAACCGTCGGTTTCGGACTCGTCCGGACGGTCGGATTTGAGTTCGTCAAGCTCATCCGCTGCTTCGTCTGAGTCAGACGAACCGAAAACGGGTCGGAGGGGTCGAGGACGATCGAGGAGGCGAAGTGACAGAAACGGGCGTGATTCTAGCGAAAGTGATAGTAGCAGCTTCCGGAGTAGGAGCAGCGGGGGCAGCAGGAGAAAGAGAAGAAGGAAGAGTGAAGGGAAGAGGAGAGGCGAGAAGAGGTCAAAGAGGAGGACACGCCGGGATAGGTCATCAGATTCTGATTTTGATTCTGATTCTGGCTCAGATTCGAAATTGAGTGCAGATTTGAGTGTTCGTTCAGAATCAGAATTGGATTTAAAATCAGAAACGGGCGAGTCTGAGCAGAGAGCAGCAGGGACGAGGAAGAGACGAAAGCAGGAGAAGGAGGAGGGGGGTGATGAGGGGGACGAGGAGCAGGATGAGGAGCAGGGTAAGAAGAAACGAAACAGAGGCGTCCGTTCTCCATCCCCTCGTTGTGAGCACAAGGCAAAGCGGCGAGATAAGGGAGAGGGGAGAGGGAGCGAGAAACGGGAGAAACGGGATAAACGAGAGGAACGGGAGGGCAAGCGCAGCAGGCGCAGGGACAAGCACAGGAAGAGTAAAGCGTCCAATACCAGCAGCAGACATGGAAAACGGAGAGAGAAGCGGTCATCTTCCAGGAACCTTCGTGTGGATCTGAGTATTACAGACGCACAGGGATGGACTCCCCTTCACCACGCGGCCCACTCAGGCTCGGCTGATCTCGTTAAATACTTCCTTAAACTTGGGAAGAATAAGGATGTAAGTCGTCCTGACAAGAAGCATAGTAGACATTCGATAAGGTCAATTAAGGAGCAGAAGGAAGGTTTGAAGTTGGTAACAGTGCAGGATAACAGAGGGAATACGCCTGTCCACGTGGCAGCTAGGATGGGTCATGCCTCGGTGATCCAGTTGCTGAGGGACGCCGGAGCTGACATGCAGGCTCGGAATCTGGCTGGGGAGACTCCCGAGGCTCTGGTGCAGCGCCGGCTGATGGATTTGCGGCGCCGAGCCGCAGAAGCAGCTTTGGAAAAAGCTGGAAGCGTGTGGGGAGAGGGGAGTGATAATGAGGGGTACTTTGGTGGTGGTGGTGGTGGTTATGGTAATGGTTCAATTAATGCTGCTTTGTGGGGAGATCCCGAGGAGAATGCAGAGGCAGCAGCTGCTGAGGCTCGGTACCACAGGTTCGGGTCCCGATCCGACAGGTTCGGGTCCCGATCCGACAGGTTCGGGTCCCGATCCGACAGGTTCGGTGCCGGGCCATGGGGAGCTGATGACGCTTGGAGGGATGACGTGGCAGCTCAGATGAAGAGCAGGATGAGAAGGGACGAGGAGAGCCACCGGGCGGCAGTTTTTGGAGCGAAGCAGGAGGAGGAAGCGGACAAGAGGAGGCGGTGGGAGGAGGAGAGGAAGATACGGGAGGAAGAAGCGAGGAAGGTTCTGGAAGCAGAACAGGCCAAGGATAAGGCATGGAGAGCAGCGATTAAGGAGCAAGTACAGAAAAAGAAGACGGTACAGAAGCAGGAGGATTATGATGAGCGATGGAGGAGATTTTATAAGTCATGTGACATGGGTATTACCATGGCTGATGTGCCGTTCCCAGTGGTGGGTGGGGGGGAGGAGGAGCTGAAGCATGTGATTCTGCATGGCGTGCCCAGGGAGCAGCACCGGAAGAGGATGAGAGAGGAGGTGGTTCGATGGCATCCTGGTAAGTGCCGTGCCTTCCTTGGCATGTCTCGTGGTCTCACTGTTGTGTGCCCAGGGATCAGCACCGCAAGAGGATGAGAGAGGAGGTGGTTCGGTGGCGTCCTGGTAAGGAACCTTGTCGCTTTGGTGTGCTCTCCTTGATTCGTGCTGTGTTCTCACTTGAGCGTGCCACGTTCTGGTGGGTGCATGCTAACACCTCATCCAATTGAGGGTACTTGGCACCCTGGTGCACATATTGTTGGCTTGAGTGGACTAGACAGACTTCATACACCAAAACCAGCTCCCCACTGTTTTCCTTCCTGTGTGCGCATGTGCTTTCCTGTGGCAGATGCGGAAGGAGTCAAGAAATGGAATGCACAATAGCTTTACTGTGTCTCCCCTACCCTTTGTTCGTACCCTTGCCCTTGCAGACAAGTTTATGCAGAAGTGGGGATTGCGGTTACACGACAAGCACCGGAGCAGCATTGAGAAGAGAGTGAAGGAGCTCTCTCAAGCCATTAACAACATTTATGCATCGCTCAAGTGACGACTGGAAGCGGGGTGCATAACAAGTATTTGTTTAGTCATTCTATCAATATTATATATACATCATGTTGGAGCTAGCCAGGTGATATTTCGTCTTAGCTTGTGATATGATAAGGCTGTGGTTGTAAATTACTCAAACGTGCAGCTCCAACTTGCAGTAATGAAGTGTGCATCAATACCGTAATTTGTTTGACCGAGCCTCGCGTTTGGTTACGAAAATGCGAATTTCGTTTGGTTTTGAATATGCGAATTTGAGAAAGGAAGCAGGAACTGTCGTTGTGTATTCCCGCTGTTGGCCTGAGAAGCTCTTTCACCTTTTCGGTCGTTCGTTCCTTAGAGGGGTCCTACGTTTCGGCCAACTCGCGACAGCCGGCGTCGCATCCCGTCGCACGCTGTCGCATCGTATCGCGAAGCCATGATGCAAGAATCCCGCGTCACCACGTCCCATCAGTCGCCTATGAGTTGAGAGCCCTCTCATCTCAGTCACGAATAGCCGTCGTCGCACGGTTTCAGTCCCTGTCGCATAACCGTGTCGCATCGAGTCGTCATGGTGCTGAATACCCGCTTTAACACACCCTCCCATTCCCGTAGAATAATACGGAGATCCTCTCACCTTTGTCAGGCTAAGGACTAGACTTCGTCGTCGCATTGTGTCACGCCCGTCGCTTCATCGTGTCGCAAATCGTCGCATTCCGTCGCAATGGTTCTCGAAGCTCGTCATCACGCGCTCGTGCAGTCGCTCATGAATCGCGGACCCGCCAAGGAGGCTCAGGCGAAGAAGCTCCATCGCGACATATGGGCCTCCGTCGCCGGCGACTCCCAGGCAGGTGATTTTTCTTCGCATCTCGTCGCATTCTGTCGCATTCCGTCGCCACCAGTCGCTCATGAGTCGCGGACCCGCCAAGGAGGCTCAGGCGAAGAAGCTCCATCGTGACATCTGGGCCTCCGTCGCCGGCGACTCGCAGGCAGGTGATTTCCGAGGGAGGTGCTTTTCAGGGGAGGTGGATTGCAGGCAGCCATGTGTCGAATCCATGGCAGCTAACGGGTGTTCCATCGTGACATCTGGGCCTCCCTCGCCGGCGACTCGCAGGCAGGTGACCTCTCGCGCAGGTCATTTTTGGGGGAATGAACGCCGCCTGTTCGCTCCAATCCCCCTTTCCTGGATCCAATACCACCCCTCTTCCCCTCCTCCTCCCACCCTCCTCCCCTCCCTCCCCCCCCCACCCCACCCCACCCCGCTCCCTCCTCTTCCCCCCTCGCTGCAAACATCCCACACTCCAGGCAGGTGACCTTCTCCAGGAGGACTTTCTCACCTCCATTGCTCGCATCAACGCCGCCATGTATCTGCTGCAGCTGAACCTCCCCCCTCTCCTGGTTCCCATCTCCCCGGTCTTCCGCCCCTTGTCTCCCCAGGAGGACTTTCTCACCTCCATTACTCGCATCAACGCCGCCATGTATCTGCTGCAGCTGAACCTCCCCCCTCTCCTGGTTCCCATCTCCCCGGTCTTCCGCCCCTTGTCTCCCCAGGAGGACTTTCTCACCTCCATTGCTCGCATCAACGCCGCCATGTATCTGCTGCAGCTGAACCTCCCCCCTCTCCTGGTTCCCATCTCCCCGGTCTTCCGCCCCTTGTCTCCCCAGGAGGACTTTCTCACCTCCATTGCTCGCATCAACGCCGCCATGTATCTGCTGCAGCTGAACCTCCCCCCTCTCCTGGTTCCCATCTCCCCGGTCTTCCGCCCCTTGTCTCCCCAGGAGGACTTTCTCACCTCCATTGCTCGCATCAACGCCGCCCTCTCGCTGCTGCAGTTCTCGTACCCCCACTGTGCCGGCTTCCATACCATACCGTTCCGTACCATACCATGCCATACCATACTGTTCTCTCCCATTCTCCCCTTACCAGGAGGATTTTCTCACTTCCATCGGTCGAATCAACGCCGCCCTCTCGCTGCTGCAGCTGGAGCTGCGGGCAGCAGCCGACCAGGCGGACGGCGGGCTTTGGTACGGAGTGGTGAACCGGGCGGCAGACAGCCAGGGCAAGCTGGGGACGACGTACAGTCACGAGGAGATCCAGTACTTCAAATGCCTCGTGGAGCACGTGGTAACCGCATCCAACGGCTCAGGATGCATCTCCAGCATCGCAGCGCTGCACCTCACCCCTGCTCCTAGCTCCACTCAGGTACATTCATCCTTAGCTTAACAGTTGATAGGAGGTGACTAAAGCTTTAAGGATGTCTCCCAGCAGCAGGCTGTTTTTGAGAGTTCTTAAAAACAACCTGCAGCTCCAGAGTTGCTAGGATTTTGACTGTAGCTTCACGGATGTTTCCCAGCTCTCTCAACCATCCCCTCTCCGTTTATCATTTCCCACTGCGCTTTTCACACGCACATGGTGTTTGACTGGTCCCAGTTCATACCCCCTGTGAACTGGCCCGAGCTCACAACGTACACATGATGATAGGTTACATTTGCGCATTCCCCCTCCTTCTTTCCCTCTCCTCTGTCTTACTACCCCATCCCTTCGATTTGCCCTTTCCCCCACCCCTCCCATTCAGCCGAACCCAATGCAAGACCCTCTCTCCCCATCATCATCGCAACCTCCCCTCTCCCCGCCTGCCACCCGCACGCACACCCTCTCACTAGCTGACAAAGAACGCCTAATCGCTGACCTGGCGAACAACCATTGGCTCAGCATCTCAAGCGATTCGAGAGATGGCAGTAGTGGTGGCGGCAGCAGCGGTGGTGGCGGTGGTGGTAGCAGTAGCGGTGGTGGGAGGAGGGGGGTGCAAGGGAGTGTGGGGCTGGGAGTGAGAACGTATCTGGAGCTACAGCAGTATTTGAAGAGCATTGAAGGGGTGGTGGTGTGCGATGTGTGCCACGATGCTGCAGTGAATGTGAGTAAGATGTGATGGGAATGGGAATAGTAATAGGGGCAGGAGGACGGGGAGTGCTGCTCTAGGTGTGAGTGTGAGCTACAGCAGTATCTGAATAGCATTGAAGGGGTGGTGGTGTGCGACTTGTGCCACGTGAAAGTGAGTAGTGTGTTGAGGGACGCTGAATGCTGTGATGCATGGATGTGATGTAGTTACAAGGGTCATCGGCAAATTAAGGCTAAGAAGTTCGCACTGCATGCATGCTTGCCCACACCAACACTGCCTGCACCGGCTCATCCCTTCTTTTCCTCTCTTCACGTCTCCCTCTCCTTCCAGGCTGTGTGCTGTGCCTCCCCAGGCTGTGAATACCGCCTGCACCAGTACTGCCTGCCCGCCAAGTTCCATCGAGTTAAGGTGGGTCAACTTGAGTCAATGGGGGGTCATTGGATAGAATGAATTGATACGAGTGCTTCCAGTGCTATTTGCCCTGGTCCTCCAGTGAGGCCAACTGGGTTGGTTATTTCTCAGAACCCGCCTCATCTACTCCCCATTCGCTTTTCCATACCTCTGCCCATTGATCTTCTCTTCCTTCCCACTCCTTTCCCCACCAGAATCCGAAGTGCCCCCAGTGCGATACACCCTGGCCTTCCAGTGAGGACAAGGGTTGATTATACTTGAGCCACCTCATTACACCTATACCTTCCCGCTTCCTCCCCACTCCCCTCCCCACCAGAATCCCAAGTGCCCCCAGTGTGACTCGCCCTGGCCTTCCAGTGAGGACGAACCTGCACCACCCAGCCAAACCCAAGCGGCTGGTCAAGGAAGGGGGTAACCGATGGGGGAACGCACTTCAAAACTCCTCTTTATCTCCCTGCACCCCTCTCTCTCTCCTCGCTCCACCAGAATCCCAAGTGCCCCCAATGCGATGCACCCTGGCCTTCCAGTGAGGTCGAACCTACACCACCCAGCCATTCCCAAGCGGCTGGTTGAGAGGGGAATGATGGGAGAACGCACTTCAAAACTCCTCTTTGTCTCCCTGCACCCCTGTCTCTCCACTCCTCACCAGAATCCCAAGTGCCCCCAGTGTGACTCGCCCTGGCCTTCCAGAGTGCCTCCAATAGTATTTGCTTGCCCTGGCCCTCCAGTGAGGCCGAGTCTATGGGTTATTTCTCAAAACCCGCCTCAATTTCTCCCCATTCGTTTTTCCACTCCTCTCGCCATTGATCTTCACTTCCTTCCCTCTCCCCCCACCCACCAGAATCCCATGTGGCCCCAGTGCGATACACCCTGGCCTTCCAGTGAGAACAAGCCTGCACCACTCACCTGGAAACTCCCTTTTTTCTCCATGCACTCTTCGTTCTCTCTCCCTCCTCTTCCTTCCCTCTCTCCCCACCAGAATCCCAAGTGCCCTCAGTGCGATGCACCCTGGCCTTCCAGTGAGGACGAGCCTACACCACCCAGCCAATCCCAAGCGGCTGGTCAAGGAGGGACTGATAGGAGGAGGCGGGCAGGAAAGCGGACAGTGGGAGAGGAGGCGAGGGACGAGGAGGGGGAGGAGGATGAAGAGGAGGAGGAGGGGGGAGACGGAGAGAGAGGAGGGACAGGGGGAGATGGGGAGGAGGGAGGAGAGGAGGAAGAGGAGGGGCGGAGGGGGAGGGGTAGGGGGAATGGAGGCATGGGGAAGAGAGCAAGAGATAAGAGGAGAGTGAGAGGACGAGTGGTGGTCGAAGAGGAGGACGAGGCGGAAGGGGAAGGGGAGGGAGAAGAGGAGGGCGAGGAGAGAGAGGAGGGAGAGGAGGAAGAGGAGGAAGAGGAAGAGGTGGAAGAGGTAGAGGAGGAGGAAGAGCGGGACGTGAGACGAGTTAGGAAAGGTGGAGTGAGAGAGGTGGCGGCGCGGGTGAGCAAAAGAACGAGGAGAAGATAGACAGAAAGAGGTGAAAGAGATGAGTTTTGTGGGGAAGAAGTTAGGTTGCAGGAGCTGGGGGAAAAGGTTGGGTGGTGTATTTTGTCTTGTTTTCTATCACGGAACTGGTTTTTCAGCTACCATGGCTTGGCGATGCATCTTACGCGTGTGGGAGTGAGAAGAGTTCTTTCTTGTACCGGTACTTTTACGGTACTTTGAAAACTAGCGCCTGCACTGTGGGGTGTGTCAGTTGCACAGAATGCTTTCTATTACGGAACCAGGTAATCTTCCTGACCAAGGCATTTCGTGCCAACTGCCGGTAGGAAAGCTGGACGTTGCATTGCAATGCACTGTGCACCTTACTAACATCACATCATAATATTCTTAAGGTAGTTGATTTGTAACATGTACCGTATTCCCCCGGATAAAAAACCCGGGGGTATTATGATAACCACTGGGAAAAAATGGGGGGGGTCTCCTCAACGGAAAATATTTTATAATACCCGGGTCTATTCATACGACATTTTTTCACATAAGGATGTTTATAAATGGACAGCTTCGGTGTTTTTGAAGTTGGTTAACTAGCACACTCAGAGGCGGGAACCCCGAGTTTCGGCAAATGATATCTTGACCAGGGTTCTCGTTATCAGACCAATTTGGTCTGATGGTCTGAGTTTAAGACTTGTTTTTTTGTATTCATCTTAATCCTAAGACCTTGTGTTTATTCTCATCTGATCAGTAAGACTAGCGTTTTAGGTTCGTATGATTTTCCAGACCGTGTAGTATTCGTAATCTGAATATACAGATATCGAGTTCGGTTTCGTCTGAAACCGACATCTTGACCCACTAGGCCATATGCCCAGTGGACCAGAGGATAGGACCACAGGTACAGCCATTTGCTGCCCTGTAACAGCACGCGCATTCATTACGCGTGTCTTATAGCAGCCACGCTGTCAGACTAGGAAAAATGTTCGTCTTATTTATCAGACTAGGAAAAATGTTCCAGCTTGTAATGCAGACCACGGAAGTTTCGTCGTCCGAGCATAAGACGGGGGAAATTTTTTTCAGGGTACCGTCAGACAGCCCCAAAACCTAGCGAGAGCCCTGATCTTGACCACCTTGGAGATGGCATGTGGCACCTCTTTGGCCACTTGACCACGAAAGATTCGCCAGCCTGGCGACAGCGAAATTGTGGGAGGGGGGGAATCTCGGCAGATTTCATTTGAAAGTTCCGTGTAATTTCGTAGAGGGAGGGATTTTTGCATCCTCCCATACTTGCACGCACTCGTTATCAGCTATTATAATAACAAATCTATATGGAAAGGGGGGTGTTATGAAAAATCACCCCAAAAGGGGGTGTATAGTACTAACGGGGTCAAATATAACACCCTCCCCGCACAAGCTACCCGGGGGTGTACAATTCGGGGTGGGTGTTTTATCCGGGGGAATACGGTACTTGTCTACATCCCCCAGAGTCCACACCATGACTGGGCTGGGAGTAATGACCAAAAGCCTCCCCACAACCACTGCGTTACAGCGAGTGCACATGGCAAACAAAACCCCCCTCTCTTCTCCAACCACCTGTCCTTTATCATTCACCTCCTCGTTTCCACCCCCTCCATCCTGGCTAGCTTTACACAAGGGCCCCCCACCCACCCCCCCACAGTGTTACAGTGAGTGCCATGCAAACGCCCCCCTTTCCACTGCAAGGACTTGTCCTTTATCATTCACCTCTTCATTTCCACCCTCTTCATCCCCCCATTGAATCACCAGCTCGTGTGTGTCTGCAGCTGGTAAAACCCTCCCATGCGAGCATCACAGCGAGTGCCAGACAAACGCCCCTCGCTCCACCCCAACCACCTGCCGTTTATCATTCACCTCCTCGCTTCCTCCCCCTCCATCCCCCCACCGAATCACCAGCTCGCGTGTATCTGCAGCTGGTAAAGCCACCCTGAGAGTCTCCCAAGGGACTCTGTACCCGCCTAATCTGCTGCTCTCCCCTCTGCCGCTGCTCTCTCCTCTGTTATCCACACCACTCTCTCCCCCACTTCCCCCCTGTACATGCACGATCGTTACAGTCACCACCACCTTCTGTGCATCCCACTGCATGCACACATGCACCTCTGCTCTGTCCCCTTTAAGAGTCTCTCCGTCGTCCTCGTACAAGACAAACCAGCTCTCCCCACCACCTTCCCCTGACGCTCCAGCTGCAGCAGCAGCAGTGCCAGCAGCGTGAGTAGCAGCAGAATAACCAGCAGCACCAGCAGCAGAACCAGCAGCAGCAGCAGCAGCAGCAGAACCCATAGGGGGGGGGAACACCCTGAGAAACCTAGACCTCTCATCATGCAGCCCACTGAAATCCACCGTGCTTTCAGTCATCGCCACTATCCCGCCCGCCCGAACAAACAGGGGCACTCGGTCAAGCGGGGCCGCCACCGTCACAACCTGCCCGGGCAGAAAAAACTCCTCCGAGTAAAAATCAAACCATCCGTAACACGGAGCTGGGGTTTCAGAGGAACCGGTGGTACTTTTCCTCCCAGGCTGCCCGCCGGGCAGGTAAACTTTTCTCTGGCGTGCCCCGCGTTCGACCACAGGAGCCGCTAGCAGCATCGGCCCCACCATAAGCTCCTCCCCATCCCTCCAGCATCGGTCATCCTCGGGAAAATCGTAAAACGTCGGGCGGATTATCGGCTCGTGAAAAAAAGAGGCTCGGAAGGAGAGAGAGTAGAGGTATGGGATTAGGCGGTATCTCAGCCGCACGGACCAACGGACGGCTGGGATCGAATCGGGGTACATCCAAGGGCAGGTGATGGTTCCATCAGGCTTCCAGCTATTCATGAGGAATCGCGGGTGCAGCAGGCCGGCTTGTACCCACCGAACCAGGAGCTCAGGCTCGGGAGGAGGTCCGGAAAAGCCACCGACGTCATGACCGCAGTTGAAGAGACCAGAGAGGGAGAGGCAGAGACCAAGGCGGAGGTTCCATCTGGTTCGTCCCAAAGGGGAAAAGCGGGTTGAGGGGAGGCAGGTATTTAGAGAGATGGTGAGGAGGTCAATAAAGGAAGATAATGAAGAATAATATAAGATCTATGAGTCAATTTCACACATTATCATGATTTATATAACAAGCATCCATGCGTTTTACCATACCCCAGTCATTTCCAAACAAGGATGGTTCCCATACCTGAGCGATTTCCAGCTGGTAGAGTTATCCCCGGACCAGGTCTGCGCGTATCTCTGAATGCCAAATCCCCCAGCTCTGGTAACCGAGTAGGGTCGGCGGCCAGGCTCGGCCCGAACCTGCTGCTCGAACGAGGCGCGGGTCATCATCAGAGCGTGGATCGGCCGATGCAGAGACAGAGGCTCGGCGCACCCGAACATGTGACTGCACGCGTCCTCCTCCCAGATCTCATACTCGTTATTGTCATTCCACGCGGTCTCGATACCAACATCAAGCAGCGCCCGCTGCATGTTGGCCTGCCACCAAGCTATGGTGCCTGGGTTGGTGAAGTCTAGGTGTGCCCCTAGCCCGTCCCAGAACTGGCTTATAGCGGGCGGTGTAGCGGCAGCAGAAGCTGAGGGGATTGAGTCAGAATCACCAGGAGGTGTGGCTTCAGCTGTTGCTGGCAGCTCTAGTGCACTCGGTTTTGAGAGGGACTTTGTTTCCTCCTCCTGCTGCTCCTGCTCCTGCTCCCCCTCCCCCTCCTCCTCCTCCCCCTCCTCCTCCTCCCACCTTTGCTCCTGCCCCTGCTCCTCCTGTCCCCTCTGCCCCTACTGCACCTCCTGCCGCTGCATCCCCACTCAAGAAGACAAACCCATTCCCCGCACCCACTTCACCATACCTCGGATGATCCACCAGCATACAAGGCTTAACATTCGCCACCACCCGCATCCCAGCCCCCCTCATCTCCCCCACAAGCCCCTGCGGGTCCGGGAACTTAGCTAAGTTCCAGTGGAAAACGTACCTCCGCTTGCCAATCATGGTGTAGCCAGAGCCAAAGTGAAACGCACTGACGGGCATGCAGGTGGAACGAGCGGCTGAGATGAACCGGGAGATGCGTGCCTGCGCATCTGGAGCGTCGGCTAGCGGCATGGCGGTGAGGTGGAGTCCAAGAGTCCACCGTGGTATCAGAGCGGGCCCTACGGCTCGTGGCAGTGGTGGCGGTGATGGTGATGGTGGTGATTGTGATGATGGTGGTGATGCTGACACCGTTATCACACTCTCTTTATCTCTCCCTTTCCCAACCCCCTCCCCTCCTCCCCCAACGCCCTCTCCTCCTTCCCCTTCCGCACCTCCTTCTCCACCTCTCTCTCTCAACCCACCAGTCATCAGCCTAGAAAATGTCCCTATCACCTCACTAACCCCAGGCCCCACACCCATGTACATATCCAGATCCCCATCCCTGCCCTTCCACACCCGGTAAGGCCCGTAATAATTGCTGTTCTCGCACCCCAAGTCCACGTCAGCACCATCTGCCAGGCTGTCGTACAGCTGGCCGTAACATACGCGCGAGCGCGCGTCGCGCGTCAGCAGCAGCGGCCAGTGCTTATAAAGGGGATCGCCTTGTAACGGGTCGAAGCCGAGCGCGTCACGCATGCCTATAGCGAGGCGGCGCGAGTGGAGATTGAAAGGACCCGTCTTGTCGCCCAGACCGAAGTAAAAATCGCCTCCTGCTGCAACCCCCTCTGCCGCGGCTGCTGCTGTGGCAACACCGGGAACAACACTACCAGCACCAGCATCAGCCGCATCAGCAGCAGCAGGAGCAGCGGCATCGGCATCAGCAGGGGAGGGAGGGCATCGTTTCATGGCGTGTTCAAACGCAAAAGAACGGTCAGAAAACCGGTACGGGCAGCTCTCCCTGTCCTCAGCGAAAACGACAGGGGTGCACTTTTCGTCCGTTTTCGTCCCCGTTATAAGCTGAGTCGCGGCCGCAGGTGCGATGCTGCTAGGAACGGCCCATGAGAGATGAAACGGCTCCAAACGAACGGTCAGGATCAGCTGAGACGAACGGATGGTAACGGCGGGAGCTTGGGGCGCAGTAGTCTCCGTTATAGCGCTCCCCGATTGCGGGAGAGTGCTCTGTTCTGTCAGCGCCACTGTAGTCTGCTCTACGGAGTGATCTATGGGCGCGAAGGGGATGTTGAGACGGTCGTATCCCTCCCATGGCGGATCGTACGGCGACGGCAGCAGCTGGCTTTGCGGGAGATCGCCCGTGAAAGGAACTTGAAACGCCCCAGCTGCGCCTGCTGCTGCTGCTGCGCTTACTGCTGTTGCGCCTGCTGCTGCTGAAGGAGATTCCGCTGCGAATTGCGCCGCTACAGATGCGGATTCCGCGTCCGCGCGGCCGCAGCAGACGGACCAGGTGCGCGGCTCGCGGAGGCCGCCGGGGCGGAGGAAGAGCACGCGGAAGAGGTTGCGCGCGACGGGGGTCACGCGGAGCGCGAAGCCGTCGTTGCAGTCGAACCACACGCCGGCCGCGTCCACGCGGTTAAACGACGCGCGAGTGATGGCCGGCATGGCTGTCGGTTAGCCCTCTTTTGCCTATGGAACCGCCTAGGTTTCCAGGTGAATTCTCTGCATCTCGATTTCAAAATCCACGACAGAAATTATAAATTTGTGGAGGTCACATTGTACGCGGTACAAGACCTAGGGATGGTGAAGCTGGCCTGTAAAACCTGTGCTCACATGTACTACATTTCGTGTGGAACGCTCAAATTTAATTCCAAACGCATTGTGGCTTGACAGACGCCTCATCCAGTGGGCACACAACCACCTGACCCTCCTTATTTTCATTATTGAGCTTTCCTAACTCTGATAAATCTCCACAACTCCATTTCACTGTACGCTACACTATTTTTCATCCGCCTCCAACTCCTCACCAAACTGCTCCAACCTTCTTGCCTCTTCCTCCTCATCCCTCACAAGCCCCCAGTTGACCAACCCCTTGTCTTCGATCGCTGATATTTGACGACCTCCAAACCTAGAAATGGAAGGGGAGGCATACGTAGGGCTCAATATGTTATACAACCATACTTCGTACATGTTATGTACAGCCTGGCAGCACACTAAAGCAAAACATGCAACGAAGAATAAACGACTCACCATTGCCCGTTCATGACTTCTATGCACTTGAACGCAGCTGCTTTGTCTTTGAACCTCACTGTCACCACTCTCCATCGCTGTTCACCACTCACCATTGTCGGTTCATGATTTCTTTGCACAAATGGTATTTTTAACGGTAGTGGTAATGGTAATGGTAACAGTTACGGTAACGGTAACAGTAATGGTAATGGTAATGGTAATGACAACGGTAATGGTAATGGTAGTCGTAATGATAACGGTAATGGTAATGGTAGTGGTAGTGGTAGAGATAATGGTAATGATAATGGTAATGGTAACGGTAATGGTAATGGTAATGGTAATGGTAGTGGTAGTGGTAGTGGTAATGGTAGTGGTAATGGTAATGGTAGTGGTAATGGTAATGGTAATGATAGTGGTAATGGTAATGGTAATGGTAATGGTAGCTTTGTCCTTGAAATTGACTGTCACCACTCACCATTGCCCTCCACCACTCGCCATCGGCCATTCAGCACTCACCACTTCCATTCACCACTCACCATCACTCTTCACCACGCACCATCGCACGTTCATGACTTCTATGCACTTGAAAGCAGCTGCCTTGTCATTGAACCTCACTGTCACCACTCATCACCGCTCTTCACCACTCACAATTGCCATTCACCACTCACCAAGGCTCTTCACCACTCACCATCGCCCGTTCATGACTTCTATGCACTTGAAAGCAGCTGCCTTGTCCTTGAACCTCACTGTCACCACTCCGTCTGGATGGTTGGGGTACACCTGGTGGCACCATGAAATGAAGAGAAGGTGGGGCGGTATTGGGAGGGAGAGGAAAATAGTTGATGCTGTGAGGCGAGGCGGAGCGGAAAGCACCTGCCTTGTCCTTGAACCTCACTGTCACCATGCTGTCTGGGTGATTGGGGTATACCTGATGGCATAAGGGAGTTGAAAATTGGGAGGATGTGGGAGGTTGGCAGAAGAAGAGGTTGGGAACAAAGTCAGTGTGTGCGAGGCCGAGGAGAAAGAAATTGTTTGCTAAACTTTTTTCATATCTTGCTTCTCATCTTGACTTACTCCACCCCCCCCATCTTGGCACACTCTTCCTGCACATCTGCTTCTAGCTACAGCAGTAGCTAGGGGCCAGGTGGGTGAGTGTGCTTTCTTAATATCTGACGAGGCTACTGAGTTGAGTTAAGAACCCTGAACCCCAAACCACATATCATGAACCCTCTTCTCACCTTGACTCGCTCCACGACCCCCATCTTGGCGCACTCCTCCCGCACCTCCGCCTCTAGCTCCACCGGCAGTGAGGGGTCATTGACAACTTCATCTCGTGTGAGCATGTGAAAGAGCGCGACTGTCATGGGGAGGGTGTGCTTGGCATTGTCAGACCCGCCTGAAAGGGTGGGGAGGATGGAAGGGTACACGCAGCAAGGGCCAGGTGACTGAGTTTCAGAGAGCAGTGAGGGGTCATTAACCACCTCATCTCGTGTGAGCATGTGAAAGAGCGCGACTGTCATGGGGAGGGTGTGCTTGGCATTGTCAGACCCGCCTGAAAGGGTGGGGAGGATGGAAGGGTACACGCAGCAAGGGCCAGGTGACTGAGTTTCAGAGAGCAGTGAGGGGTCATTAACCACCTCATCTCGTGTGAGCATGTGAAAGAGCGCGACTGTCATGGGGAGGGTGTGCTTGGCATTGTCAGACCCGCCTGAAAGGGTGGGGAGGATGGAAGGGTACACGCAGCAAGGGCCAGGTGACTGAGTTTCAGAGAGCAGTGAGGGGTCATTAACCACCTCATCTCGTGTGAGCATGTGAAAGAGCGCGACTGTCATGGGGAGGGTGTGCTTGGCATTGTCAGACCCGCCTGAAAGGGTGGGGAGGATGGAAGGGTACACGCAGCAAGGGCCAGGTGACTGAGTTTCAGAGAGCAGTGAGGGGTCATTAACCACCTCATCTCGTGTGAGCATGTGAAAGAGCGCGACTGTCATGGGGAGGGTGTGCTTGGCATTGTCAGACCCGCCTGAAAGGGTGGGGAGGATGGAAGGGTACACGCAGCAAGGGCCAGGTGACTGAGTTTCAGAGAGCAGTGAGGGGTCATTAACCACCTCATCTCGTGTGAGCATGTGAAAGAGCGCGACTGTCATGGGGAGGGTGTGCTTGGCATTGTCAGACCCGCCTGAAAGGGTGGGGAGGATGGAAGGGTACACGCAGCAAGGGCCAGGTGACTGAGTTTCAGAGAGCAGTGAGGGGTCATTAACCACCTCATCTCGTGTGAGCATGTGAAAGAGCGCGACTGTCATGGGGAGGGTGTGCTTGGCATTGTCAGACCCGCCTGAAAGGGTGGGGAGGATGGAAGGGTACACGCAGCAAGGGCCAGGTGACTGAGTTTCAGAGAGCAGTGAGGGGTCATTAACCACCTCATCTCGTGTGAGCATGTGAAAGAGCGCGACTGTCATGGGGAGGGTGTGCTTGGCATTGTCGGATCCACCTGAAAGGGCGAGAAGGGTTGGGGAGAGAAAGAGGACCAGGTGACAGAGATTCAAAGAGCAGTGAGGGGTAGTTGACCACCTCATCGCATGTGGGCATGTGGAAGAGCGCGACTGTCATGGGGAGGGTGTGCTTGGCGTTGTCATGAGAAAGAGGGAAAGCAAAATCGACAAACAAATTCGCCACGACGCGAAGTGGAGGGGAGGAAGGGAAGTAGATTGAGTGAACATGGCACATCAAGAATCAACCTACCCCATCCCAGCACCAAGCGAGATATTTTGAGGTGCCAATAGTTAAGTGAGACAATCTATGAAGCACCTCAAAATAAGGCATCAAGAACTCACCCCATCCCAGCACCTTGGCTTCCAGCTTCTTGAGTTTCTTCTTCTTGTTCTTGTCTCTCGCCTTCTTGACAAACACATTGCCATCACACAGCAACCCATGACCCACGTGAGCGCGTGCAGCATTCACCTAATGCCAGCACCTGCGCGTGCAGCATTCACTCACCCCATCCGAGCACCTTGGCTTCCAGCTTCTTGAGTTTCTTCTTCTTGTTCTTGTCACTCGCCTTCTTGACAAACACATTGCCATCACACAGCAACCCATGACCCACGTGAGCGCGTGCAGCATTCACCTGATGCCAGCACCTGCGCGTGCAGCATTCACTCACCCCATCCCAGCACCTTGGCTTCCAGCTTCTTGAGTTTCTTCTTCTTGTTCTTGTCGCTTGCTTTCTTTACAAATACATTGCCTGGAAGACAGAGGGGAGGTGGAGGAGACGAATGGCAAGGGAGATATGGAAGAACTTTTGAGAGGACCTAAAAACAGTCTCATCACATAGGAAGATATAGTCCATGTATCTTCACCACAATGTGAACGTGGACGAGGTGGAATTGGAAACGAGGTGGGTGGGACGTGGAAAAACAAGGAGGTTTCACGTAATGTGGAGTATCAATGTGTATAAAGGGTATTTTTGAGATGTCTCAAAAAACAAGGAGGTTCTAGGTAACGTGGAGTTGATGAACCTTGCAGCACGCGGCGACCTTCACTACCATACCATCACCACCACTCACCACCACTCACCACCACTCACCACCACTCACCACCACTCACCACCACTCACCACCACTCACCTTTCTGCTCGAACTTGGCCAGGGTCACAGACATGGGCTGCTTGTCGCCTAGTCTCAGAGAGACTCACCACTCACCACCACTCGCTACTCTCACCTTTCTGCTCGAACTTGGCCAGGGTCACAGACATGGGCTGCTTGTCCTGTCTCCTAGTCTCAGAGAGACTCACCACTCACCACCACTCACTACCACTCACCACCACTCTCTCACCTTTCTGCTCGAAGGTCACAGACATGGGCTGCTTATCTTGTCGCCTAGTCTCAGAGAGACTCACCACTCACTACCACTCACTACCACTCACCACCACTCTCTCACCTTTCTGCTCGAACTTGGCGAGGGTCACAGACATGGGCTGCTTATCTCCTAGTCTCAGAGGAGTGCCGTCCAAAATCTTGAGAGCTAGATCCACTGAGGGCGGCTGGAGGGAGGAAAAGGGGGATGAAGAGGAGGGGAAGGGGAGGGGGGAACAGGGAGGGAGGCTGCTTGTTGCCTAGTCTCAGGGAAGTGCCGTCCAGAATCTTTAGTGCAAGATCCACTGAGGGCGGTTGGATGGGGCAAGGGGAGGATGGGAGGACGGGAAGGGGCAGGGGGGATGCTTGTGGCCTAGTCTCAGGGAAGTGCCGTCTAAAACCTTGAGCGCTAAATAAACTGAGGGCTGCTGGAGAGGGAAACAGGGAGGCGGAGGATGAACAGAATCAAACCTCTTCAGGAATTCTCATAAGCGACTTTAATAAGGAACGCAAGCAGGATTACCTTTAGCAAAGCAACTGGTTTTTACCTTGAGGAGTGTGATGAGCCCATCGCCCTTGAGCTCGCCTGTTGTTGCCTTGTCACGATACAGCCAGCTTCTAAACGCCAAGTCCTCTTACCTTAGCAATGCAGCCAGGCTGGACTTGAGCATAAGCAGACTGACCTTGAGGAAGGTGATGAGCCCATCGCCCTTGAGCTCGCCCGTTGCTTTGTCCCGATACAGCTTCACCCGCTGCTTGCCCGTGTCCAAATCCTGGCAAACCACGACAAAAGGTAGGGAACCAGGATCAAAGAAAGGAAACAGAAGCAACGGACAGGAGGCAATTAGCTGGTTAAATCATATCGTATACACCCCTTGGTGCTTTCCATACCTCTTGATTGGTCCGTAATTGAAAAGGGAATGCTTGATGTAATTGGTTCTTACCTCTTTGATAAGCCCACACTTGGAAAACACCTCGCCCACCTGCCATACAGGGAAACAAGAATCGGAGAAAATAAGCAGGGAGTTAAGGGGCAAACGCAGTTGCACTGACATGACCCACCAAACACACACACACGGGTACGTACACATGAATATGAGATGTACACCCTGTACAAAACATACTGTTACACCCTGTACTCGCTACAGGCGCCCCACCTCGTCCTCGTTGGTATCGTGAGGCAGGCCTGTGACGTACACGCTCGTGTTAACCTTCAACTCATCCATTCACTCATACTGCTCTTCAAAATGCCCCTCTCTTGGCCTCTAAGGCGCCTCACCAGCAACTCACCTCATCCTCGTTAGTGTCATGGGGCAGGCCTGTGACGTACACACTCGTGTTGACCTTCAACTCAAACCACTCGTTTGGCTCGTTATTGGTCACCTGGATTGGGGACAGGGAGAGAGGAGAGGGGGAGAGAGTGAGAGAGGAGAGGGAGAGGGAGAAAACAGAGAGTAGGGAAAGGAGAAGGTAAGATGCAGGCCTGTGACGTACACACTCGTGTTGACCTTCAACTCAAACCACTCTCTTCTGTAGCTCCTTTAGTGTTTCTACACGCTGATTTTCTTGCCCATTCAAACCAACCACCACTACAATAAAAAACACGAGACCAGGAGGGTGTGTCTTCAATAAGAAACGCCAAGCCCACCCACTGACCTTCTTTTGAAGCTCCTTGCGTGTCTCCACATGTTCCTTCTCTTGCCCTTGCTCCTTCTTCCCTGCCCCCTCTTTCCCCCCCTCCTTGCCCTTCCCACCCCCTTCCATCTCTCCCCAATGCTTCCCCCCCTCCTCCCCTCCTCCTTCCTCCCCCTTCCCACCCCCGCCTCGTTTCTCCCCCTTCTTCCACCCCTTCCCCTTCCCTTTCTCCTTCTCCCCGCCCTTCCCCCACTTCTTCCCCCCACGCTCCCCGTCCCCCCCTCTTCCCTCCCCCATCTCCTCCTCCTCACTCGCCTCTGCCCGTTCCCTCTCAGCAACAGCAGCAGCAATGGCAGCGTCAAGAGAGGGGATAACCTCCTCGTCCTCCACAAATACCATCTGCTCTGGGTCGTAACCTGGTAACCCTGCTGCTGCATCTGGTACCGCTGCTGCTCCTCCTGCTCCTCCTGCTGCTGCTGCTGCTGCTGCTGCTCCTTCTTCCCCCTGGAAGCCGTAAGACAGCAGTGACCAAGAAGGCAGGAGAAAGCAAGGCATGGAAACAGCGGGGTTACGAGGACTGGAGTGGGGATATTTCGAGGAAGGTAGACGAAGTGGCAAGCTTAGTGTAGCAACATATAATGGACCGACTCACTCACCAGCGGCACCCACACGCGCATGCGGGCATCCCAGCGGTATATCGTGCCATCGTCATCCTCAAATTGGTCCCCCTCTGCTGGATCCCCCTCCTCCCCCTGCCCTTGCCCCTGCCGCCCTTCCCCTTTCCCCTGCCCCTGCAGCTGCCCCTTCCCCTCTTGTGCGTCTGCAGTTGTCATTTCCACATCCGCATTTCCACCTTCCTGCCCCTTCCTTCCTTCCCCCTCCCCCTCCTCTGCCTCCCCACCCTCCTCCCCCTCTCCCTCATCCTCCTCCTCTTCCTCCTCCTCCTCCTCCTCCTCCTCTTCTTCCTCCTCCACGTCAGCATCAGCGCCATGGGCTAAGGCAGCGACCACCCGCCCTCTCTTTCTCGCTGCCCGTTTCGCAGCAGCTGCTTCCGCCTCTGCCCGTTTCACCTCCGCCAGGAACTTCCGCATCTCCTCATCTTCCGCTCTCCCTTCCCCCCCTCCTCCCCCATCCCCGACCCCTTTCTCCTTCCCCTTCCCCTTCCCATTCCCCTTCCCCTTTCCCCCATCACCAGCAGGAACCCCCCATTTCCAAGTCCTACCAGCCTTGATTTCCCCACCGGTTGTTTCTGTGCCTGCTGCAGCATTTGAAGCCGCTCCATTCCCTGCTGCAGCCGCTGACGCTGCTGCTGCTACCCCTGCTGCTGCTGTTTCTCCTTCTCCTGCTACTCCTGCTGCTGGCTCAGACGCAGCAGCACTGGCACCAGCAGCGCAAGCTGCAGCGAATTCAGGAATTATTTTCAGTGGCAGCCACTCCGCGCAGCCTTCTGCCCAGAAGAGAGTGTCAGGCGTTACATAGTTGTACGCAAGAAGACCTGAAATCAATTACAGGTTGGAGTAACGAGTTCAGCTAATTGGAGTCAGATACTGAAAGCAAGGCAAGGGTAAACACAGTCTGTCAGAATGCTTTATGTCTAGAAAATGTACGGCCGTTTCGTTCGTACTCTGAAAATCGGCATGAGTAGGGGGCTTTAGCGACTACCCATTCGCGATACTATATTTAGCGACTCGAGCAAAGGCAAACGTAGCAATTGTCAAGTATTAAGAGGACAGCAGACGTACCGGGAACCTGGTCCTCTGGGTAAGGCCCTTGATTCTGCTGGTTAACGTCTAGGAAGAACCATCCACGGCCTGAAATTGCCGAAACGTCTTTACCAGCTTCTGCCGTTGATTCTACCGGCTGAACGTCAACCTTCCGCGCGTCGTCAGGCTCGTCTAATGGCTTGGACGGCTGAGCTTCCGCCATAATTTCGAAAGTCGGGACGTGAAATACGAGTAAGCTCTATGTTCTGTGCAATTCGTCTATTTCTGGTTCGTGCGGGAAACAAGAACCCCCCTGCCGTACGCGATTTAGTTGTTCCCACTCGTATGACCCTAAGATTAATGCAGTATAATCTGAATCAAATGTAATCGTCATTCCGACTTCAACTTTCTCTGGAGTTTCAATGTCTGAAAACACACTTTCTAGAACTAGTCACCTTCATAGAAATATCATGATAGGTTGCAGCATATCGCCATACCTGCACAAACCATCTTAGCCAATGTCTACATGCTCTCCAGTTTCCATTAGGCATCTGAAGAACACCTGTTGTCTAATTATCAAGCCTCTAATCCTTCCCTTCCCTGTCCACCGTCCAGCATCTAAGACCCGCACATTGCTGGCTGAATCAGTGTGTGCTTTGTCCCCAGATAACCTAGCACAAGCATGAAGAAAACGTGTGGTTGCGGTAGGTTTCCAGACTGGTCAACGCTGGCAACATGCACCTCTAACCATAGTTCCCTCAACCCAATGCTCGAAACGGAGACGCAGCTAGGGGCCGTGGGGCCGTGGAACAAGTACTTACGCCTGATGTGCCACAGGGAATTTGCGGTTACGCTCCGTAGAATCCCCAACAATCACCACAGCAACCACACAAAAATGCAAGTGGAACTGGGATATATTTAAAGATAAGTGTAGGTACACGGTTTTTACTTATATATCGACATTCTTAAGAAGTCACCGACTTGACGATGGCGCCAGCGGTAAGCACAGCCACGACCTCCACAGCAGCAACGGCGACAGCCTGGGTCTCAGCGGGAATGTCGCTCTCCGACGTGACTGGGACACCGACGGAGGGAGCAACAACGGGAGCAGCGGGAGACGAGGCAACCACGGGAGCAGCCACTGGAGCAGCAGCGGGAGCCTCCTCCTCAACAGCCTTCCTCCTAATGCCGAAAAGAGGGATGTCTTTAGCAGAAGCGGAAGAAGCGGGGATGGCAGCGAGAAGGGCAGCTAGGCCGAGAGCAGTTGCTGATCGCCGGGACACGACGTGCTTGTCGTCCGATGACGCGGCCTCGCAGCGGACAGCGGCGAGCGACCGCCTGACGGTCTGCTGTTGACGGGGAGCCGCAATTTGGCAGCCAGCGAGGGACGCGGCGGAGGAGAGCACGCAGCTGGTCATGGTGGCAGCCATGGTTGCTGTACAACGTATTGAGGCTAACTGCAAGCAAAGCTGAGAACCAGACCAGCTGTTAGTTTCAGAAATCTCACTGAGTACAAATCAATGTTGCAATAGTTGCCTTGTTTTGAGACGCATCAGAACAAGCCGATGTTTTGCCCAGCTGACCCAGATAGCTTTCCACAACAGAGGTCCAACGACAACCGTCGGATGCGTTCCGGAACGGCAAAGATGCATCATCCAAAGGCTCAGATGCTTGATTTGCTACTAGCTGGCTTGGTCACCCATACCGCAAGTTTGTGGGGGCCCTAAAGGTTGGGGGATGAATCAAAGCCAGGCACGTAAGCAGGGAAGAACAGTGAGGTGGCACTCCGGAGGCCACGGGCCGTGGATTGACAATCTTAGGACCCCCTGATTGGCGAAGGATGCTCGCTTTTCAGCCCGCAATCCAGCAAAAGCATCGCCACCACTGACCACACCCACAAAATTCCCCTGCATCAGAACACTCATTAAAAAATGAGAGGGTAGGGTACCGTAGTCTAGTATGCTTCACATTATATTGAAAAGGGAAAGTAAATAAGCTCAATCAATAAAAATCATTCAGCTCCCTCAAAACCGTACACCTCATGTATTTGATATCTCTGCGTATTATCGTTACGGTAGTAAATACCATTACCAAAAGGACTTCCTGGCACGCAGCAATTTGCAACTTGTCATGTTACCCACTCATTGTGGAAGAGGGGCAGCTCCCAACTCCACCAACCAAGCAGAGTGCAAAGGGCAAGGGTCCGGCTTGCCGGCTGCCACTGCGGCTTTTGACATGCTGTAGAACCAGCCGTTGCGCCACTCAAACTGTGGGGAACGGCATGGGAGAAGCATGGGGGAACATGTGAAGAGCATATGGGGATGGGGGAGATGTGACTGTTAGCATAAGCCATGAGGAGCATGGGAGCCATGGGGGACATGGGGTGGGTAGCACGGGGGCATGAAAAGACATAGGGGCCATTTGGGGCAGGGGATAATAAGGAGAAACACCATAAGATTTGAAAACTGATGTAGCATATTCCGTAACCAACCCTTGAACCACTTTTCACACTGCGGCGTGAGAGGTGTTATAGGCACAAAGTCGAACCACGAGTCCCTCATCAAACCCATCCACAGGCCCAGCCACCATAACAGCACGGGTGGCAGCAGCAGCAGAAGCAGCAACAACAACCGTACCTCTTTAACAGCCGTGGGGAAGTGAGCGACGGAGCGAGCGTACGCACACAGTCGCTCCACCAACCCCTCGTCAAACCCATCCACCGCCCCAGCCGCCACAGCAGCCGCAGCGAGCTCGTTGATGAGCAGAGTCACGGCCTCCCTGTGTTGGCTCTCCACCTCGCCCACGGTGATGCCGCCATTCCTCGCTCCCACCAGCATGAACGCGCAAATCCACATCAGCTTCTCCAGTTGAGGCCGACGGAAGGCTGACGGGGAGAGCACCTGCGGTTGAGGGAGGTATGGGAAGGGAGGTGGGGAAGGGGGAGACGCCTCTAAGCTCTTTCCCACCAGAATGAACGCGCAAAACCACATCAGCTTCTCCAGTTGCGGCCGACGGAAGGCCGACGGGGAGAGCACCTGCCATCAACGGAGGGTGGGGGGGACCCAGGATTGAAGGGGGGAAGGAAAGAGGACTAATCTGAGGCGCCCTTGAGATCCACATCAGCTTCTCCAGCTGATGGCCGGCGGAAGGCCGATGGGGAGAGCACCTGCATTAGTAGCGGGAGGGGAAGGCAAGGGCATATGCAATCTCGACACACTTGCCAGTGGTAGCAATGTGCTCCTCGGGATTGACCAGACGGAATTCCCCCCTTTCTCACCTTGTAGCTGAGCCCTGCAGACTTGAGCCTAGCAGCTACGGCCTCAGCCCACTTGCCGGTGGCAGCGGTGAGCCCCTCGGGATTGTCATTATGCTTGAAAGCGGCTCTACTCCCTTGCCTCTCTCACCTTGCAGCTGAGAGAGACCTGCTGATTTCAGCCTTGCAGCTACGGCATCAGCCCACTTGCCGGTAGCAGCAGTGAGCCCCTCGGGATTGACGTCCGTGATGCCATCCAGAGGTGGGTCACCATATGCACCAGCTGACCATATGCTCTCACCTTACAGCTCAATCCAGCCGATTTCAGTCTAGCCGCAACAGCTTCCGCCCACTTGCCAGTGGCAGCAGTGAGCCCCTCGGGATTGACGTCCGTGATGCCGTCCAGAGGGGGGTCGCCCGCCTTGGCCACGGCGAAATACACGAGCACTTGAGTGGCGTCCTGCAGACCCCTAGACGTCAACCAGGGGTCGAGCATGCCGTTCTGAATAAACACCAGATCTGCATGCAGGGGAGACGAAACCGCAAGGGAGTGGAGGGAGGGATGTGATGCCATCCAGACCAGAGGTGGGTCGCCCGCCTTGGCCACGGCGAAGTACACGAGCACCTGCGAGGCGTCTTGGAGACCCCTTGAGGCGAGGCAAGGGTCGAGCATGCCGTTCTGAATGAACACCAGATCTGGAAGAGGGACAAGGGATGGAACAGAGGGAGCGCATAGGGGGAAGGTGAATGATACACAAGCATGCAACCTGCCTTGGCCACGGCAAAGTACACGAGCACCTGCGTGGCGTCTTGAAGACCCCTAGATGCCAACCAGGGGTCCAGCATGCCGTCCTGAATGAACACCAGATCTGCACGGAGGTAGAGGAAAGAGGGGGTACAGGGAACCGGGGGTAGGGAGGGGAGGAGCATTGATACACACGCATCTCGCCCGCCTTGGCCACGGCGAAATACACGAGCACCTGCGTGGCGTCCTGCAGACCCCTTGAGGCGAGCCATGGGTCCAGCATGCCGTTCTGGATAAACACCAGGTCTGGCAAAACGGGGGTGGAGGAAGTGGGAAATAGGGGAGGAATTGAACATGAGCATTTGAACAGGAGTGCACTCCTGCAGACCCACAGAAGCGAGCCATGGGTCGAGTGGAACTCGTTCCCAATGTACCTTGTCGCCTCTATTCCAGCATTTCCTCTCCTCGATTCCAGCATACCGCTCACCTTCCCTCCTGGATTCTGGCACAGCATCAACGACCGCGTCAAGAGCATCGTTCCGCGTGCACGCAACTTTTTGAGACGCCTCAAATATCCTCAAATCCAGCATCCCGCTTACCTTCCCTCCTGGATTCCGGCACAGCATCAACGACCGCGTCAAGAGCATCGTTCCGCGTGTACACAACTTTTGAGACGCCTCAAATATCCTCAAATCCAGCATCCCGCTTACCTTCCCTCCTGGATTCCGGCACAGCATCAACGACCGCGTCAAGAGCATCGTTCCGCGTGTACACAACTTTTGAGACGCCTCAGAAATTCTCAACTCCAGCATCCCGCTTACCTTCCCTCCTGGATTCCGGCACTGCATCAACGACAGCGTCAAGCGCATCGTTCCGCGTGCACACGATGATCGGTCCCTCCCCGCGTTCCGGGACCTTCTCCCCGCGCCGCACCACCACGTCCCGCCCCCCGCCCATCTTCTCCAGCGCCTGCCCCACGCGCCCCGCGCCGATTATCACCGCGGGGATCACTTCCGCGGATGCCATTGCGCGCGGAGCGCAAGTGCGGGAGCGGAGCGATGTGCGCTGCGCGGGGCTAGTTGTGCGATGCCGAAGCGACCTTAGACCGTCGAATGCCGAGGTGGATGGGCAGCTGGGTGTTGCGCTGAGGCGCAGCGGAACGGCGGAAGGAGCAGCAGCAGCGCGCTGAAGGAATGCGGGGAGCGAATTGGCGCAAGTAAAAGAGGCGGGGGAGGGGGCGAGGGCGGCAGCGCAAGCTCGCGAAAGCGGCATGGCGGAGGAAGAAATGGCAGGGGCGATGGGGACTGGTCACTGGGCAGCAAAATGTGATGACCAGACTGCCATTATCGAAAATTTCCCCGCAGGTAATTCAAGGTGGCTGGGAGATTCTGGAAGTGCTGTACTCGTTTTAGGGTTCCTTCTTCACACAGTGCGGCAGAGAGTAAGTATACACTATTTGCACACATAGCTGAACTTGTACAAACCCTACAGATGGACAGTTATTCACATGTCAGATGCCTACAGGTACTTCCCTTCTTCATTACAGAGTTTGTCCTAGAGCAGGCATGCAATGCGGCATGCCTTTTCCCTATGGCGCCATAACAAAGTCAAAGGTTCATGTCATGTCGCCTACTCATGACCTTGCTAACACTATCCTGCCTCTGCAAGTCTCACTCACGCCCAAAGGCCTATCCCACACCCAATCCCACAGGCCTAGTATAAGTTGACACCCAACATCAGACACACATCCCATCCCCAGTCCTGACTGTACTACAAGGCTTGCCACAGCCTGTCAATCGGTCTGTCCTGTAACTAACAGCTGCAGCCCTCTAGTTCACTTTCACGCATCACACAGCTAAGCAGAGTGCCAGTCAGTGTGTCACTTGCCATGTGACTTGTGCAATGTTGGATGCATGGGCGATGTCTTGGTTCATGGCGCAGAAAAGCATGGTGTCACGACTAACACCATGCCACACAGGTGGGAGTTCCCTTCTATGTGTGGCACAGCAAATCGAATCCACGGCGTCACAAGGGTACAGCTGCAAGTCATTTCACCGCACTGTACTGCATCGTACCACACCACACCCGCTCCAGGCCCGAACACCAAGAGAGGTTGACAGGGTCACTTAGGAAGCACTCGTTTGGCGGCACTCGTCTTGTTCATCACTCAACGCCATGTTGCTGCATGCCTCATTCCCAGAAATCTCTTGGTCAGCTGCACGTGTCGTTGCACCACACCACTTCACCGCATGTCACTTGCTCCAGGGCCAGAAGCGGGAGGAGTTGGCAAGGGCGCAGCCCAGGATTAAGCTGAGCACACCGTCTCACTGCATGTCACTTGCTCCATGCCTCTTCACCATCTCACTTGCACCACACCCCTTCCCAGCATGTCACTTGCTCCAAGGCCAGAAGCGGGATGAGTTAGCGAGGGTGCAGCCAAGGGCGAAGCTCAGAACACCATCCACGCCCAGCAGCTTATCGCTTATCACGTCCTGCCATGACGCGCCATGCCATGCCATGCCAACGGCCATGACGTGCCGTCCGTGCCATGCGGAATGCCATGCCATGCCGACACGGCAGTGATAGCCATGCCCAAGAGTAGAAAATGGATGGGAACAATCCCCATAAGGACAGGAGTGAGGCTCAATTGTGTTCCTTTGCATTTTCAGTACCACAATCACCATAAATAGAGGTCAAGCAATGAGCCGAGGAGAGCGAGATGGATAAGGCATAAGTAGGAAACAGGAGAGGGGAGGGAGTCTGGGCCGGGTAGGAAGAAGATTAGTGGAAGAGGTGGGGGGAGCAGACGGGGTGCATGAATTGCACTTACGAAATCAGGGTCCAGCCCGTCAACCTCGAATAACATTACTCCCGTGCCCGCCTCCTGGTTGGTGCGCCCCTGTTCGTGGCGGTGTGGAGAAGAGAAGAAAGCGAGGGCAATTAGAGCAAGCGGGGATTAACGGCAGAAAAAAAATCAGAGACACTGAAGAAACGAGAGGTAAAAATTGGTAGTCAAGAGTGTATATGTGAAAGCAATGTTGAGAAAATTGAACAAACAAACCATGAGAGCGATTGTAAGGTGCAGGTATGCAGGCCCAGCTCACCGCATGTGTACAGATGAGCAGGCCAGATTCCGTCACTATCTTGGAAACTTCCGCCAGCATCCCTGCAGACGCACATGGAAAAAGAGTCAGCACCACCGTTGACTGACACACCCCCACCCACCAAGCCACCACCGTTGACTGACAAGCACTTGACTGCACTCACCTGTGCGGTCGTAACACTGCACGGCCAGCCACAGCACCACCTTTCTGCGGCCACTCAGGAACTGCCACATGGCAACAGTCTGCGTCTGCCACTCCTCAAACTCCGCAAACGCATCCACACACGCGCCCCCTCCCTCCGACGCCCTCCCTCTCCCTGACGACCCTGCGGGCTCTACTGATATGCTTTCAGCCCTATCAACAGCAGCTGTTGCTTCTGCTGCCATTGCCTGGAGACCTGCTGCTGTTGGCTCCGGTACTGCTGCTACTGCTGGCGTGGCTGCTGCCGCTGATCCTCTCGTCTTGTCTTGTGGTTGAGGCGAGGGGCCTACTGCCTGTGGACCAGCCATGCCGTTGCCCTCTCCCTTCCCTCTTCCCACCACGCTCGTCTCTCCACCACCCCCACCTCCATCCAACTGTGCTTCCCCTGTTAATCCCTCCAACAGCCGTGACACTAGCTCATCTACCCCCTCTCTGCTCCCTACCCCGGCACCAACACTCCCGTCCACGTCATCTCTGCTCCTGCCTCGTGACAGCTCCACATCAGCGCTAGCCAGTGACACGTCAGCATCGCCCGCCGCCAGCCGAGCAGACGCCACGTCAGCAGCAGCCCCGTCATCAGAAAACCGCAAACCCTCTGAGCCTCTTTCACCAGCTGCCCCTGTCTCAGATCCCACTTTCCCCGATTCAGCCCTGCCTAGTTCCACCTCTCTCCCGCCCAATGTACCATCTATACTCCTCTCCACCTCGCCTGACCGCCCTTTTCTAGACCCCGTACCTGCTTCTCCCTCTTGCACTGCCAATCGCCCCTGCCTCCCCTTGTTGGGAGTCTGGGGAACAGCCTTTGTGGCGGATGGTGGGGATGAGAGAGGGCGGGAGCGGGGGGAAGGGGCGGCTGAGGGGGTGGTGGATGGGGAGAAGTCGAATGGGAGTGATGATGATGGTGACTGTATGGAGGGTGATTGAGTGGGCTGGCTGGTGGGAATAAGGGAATCTGAAAAGAGAGGCAGAGAAGCCGATCCATTGTTACTGCCAGACACGACGCTGCTGCCGCTGCCAACACTGCTGTTACTGCCACTGCGACTGCTGCTATTGCTGCTGGTGGTGGCAGTGCTGCTGCTGCTACTAGCAGCAGTGCGGGCGTCTGCCGATTGCAGGTCGATGAGGAACTCGTTGATTCGGTCTGCCGTGATCTCATGCGAATTCAGCGCGCCCTGCTCCCGCAAATACTGCACAATGCAAACAAAAGAGATTCATTAGCAAATACGATATGCATCAATGTTGCATGCTTTTTTGGGCTCGACTTCAGCACCCCCGCTCCCACAAATACAGCACCGTGCAAACAAAGAGCATAGAATTGCAGACACGCATCAGCTTTGAGTCGACTCAAGACACGCATCAGCTTTTTGGAACCTTCCGAACTATGCTTTCAGCACACCCTGCGTCCGCAAGTACCGCACTGCACAATGCAAACTGCAAGCCCTTGCCATACCTTGGTGAGCTTGTGCCTGGCGCTTCTCGTCTTGGCGTGCTGCAGCCACTGCTGGCGTTGCTTAAAGCCCTTGCGGGAACCACCCGACCCGCCCTGCGCAAAGAAAGCGAAAGCAGGGAGGATGGGAGTGGGAGAGGCAAGTGAAGCACAGACAGGCTAGCTTGGGTTTTGTGGGGAGGGGCAGCAGACATGGAAGAGTAGAGGCAGGGGGGGGGTGCCTTACACGACTCACGTTGTATGTGAGAACCCCAGTGAACTTCCATAGGCAGCAAACAAATGATCATCTTTGAAGTGCCTAAAGCAACATATGCGAAGTTGGCTTACAGGCCTTACCTTGTATGTGAGAACCTCAACGACCTCCCCATTGGACAGAGCGTACGTGGGCGGGACGAAATTGCCATTCACCTGGCACGACAGGTGTCGGGGAATGGGAGAAGACGGGGAGAGAAGGGATAGGAAGTATTTTGAGTCGATTAGAGATCCAATGAAAAGGGCGAAAGTGGGGGGGACAAGGTTGCCAATTGCTAAACCCGAAGATCCGCGACCCAAACAGGTTGCACGTGCAAGTAAAGCAGTCTGATTAATTTCACACGTCTCACCTTGGCGGCCACCATTCGGTTGCCGACGTCCGTGTGGATATGGTAGGCGTAGTCAATCACAGTGGCGCCCTTGGGTAGGTTCTTCACCTCCCCCTTGGGCGTGAACACAAAGATCCTTGACCCAAACAGGTCGCACGTGACCGTATCCACAAACTCCCGCGCGCTGATCGCCCCCACAAACTCCTCCTGCCACTCGCGAATCGAGTTCAGCCAGCTCACCCGCCTCGCCACGTCAGCGTCGTTGCCCCAGCTGCTCTGCGTCTCAGTCACCCCCCCACACACCGCAACACTGCTGATGGTAGAGGCAAGAGGGGGACGGCCCGGCTCATCGTCACTTCCTGAGCTGTCACTATCCCCTTCCGAATCATCTGTGGTTGAGTAATCCAAGCCTGGAAGAAGCAACCCTGCTAGATCCTCCGACCCATCAGCTAGCTGATTCACCTGCCCCTGCCGCTCCTGCTTCCCCTGCTGCCCCTGAGTCTTCATCTGCTTCCCCTGCTGCCCCTGCCCCTGCTGCTGCTCCTCCTGCTGGCCGTGCAGCAGCAGGTGGGGGTGGCGGCCGGTGTGGTGAGCAGCGATGCCCCACTCTGCGAGCTTATCCATGTGGTCGGTGCGGATCTGCACCTCCACGGGGAAGAGAGAGGAGGCGCCCAAGGGTAGCACCGTGGTGTGCAGGCTCTGATACCCGTTGGGCTTGGGCGTCGCTATGTAGTCTTTTACCTGGAAGGGGGAGGGGGGCGAGGGGGGAAGGAATGACACGACACACACGGCAGCAACGGGAGAGGAGGAAGGAGACCGCGAGCCAATGTATATGGTAGCACCGTAGGCGAGGAAAGGATGTAATAGGACGCCCGAAAGCATGCACGAAGCAACAGGAAAGAGAGAAAAAAAAATGGGTGACAACAGCGTGAAATGAGAAGAGAGGCTTACGGTGCCTGGGAGAGGTCGCCAGAGAGCATGCACGAGGCCTAACACATGGTAGGACACCTGCAAGAGAAGGGGCGAAGGTGGATGGCACACAAATGGCTTCTAAGAAAGACACTTAAAGCGACGGGCAACTTTTGGCAGTGTTGGGTTCAGAAGTTTTTTTTTTGAACCAGGCAAACCAGCGCGAAAGTGTTGGCTGGCGAAAACCAGGATTTCGTGCAGACACTTTTCATCTGCAGTAACAGTTCGCCAGGGTTCTGGGTTTTGGGTGGCAAATGTGCACCGTCGCTTTAAGACCAGCCAACCAATCAAGCACTACATGGTAGGACACAGAGTCCCCATCTCGCCCCCTCTATCCCCTCCTCCTCCTCCTCCTCCTCCTCCTCCTCCTGGAGCTGCTGTCCTGTTGATCAGCAGCATCGTCCATGGAGAGCACCATGCGGATCTGCGAGATCTTGCCCCTTCACTCCCCTCTCTCTCCCTGCTCCTCCAACTCCCCCCCTCCTTCCAACTCCTTTCCCACCCCCACCATGGACCCCATTTCTCACCTGCTGGACGATGTTGCGGGAGCAGCTGTCCTGCTGATCGGCCGCATCATCCATGGAAAGCACCGCGGATCTGCGAGATCTCATCCCTCAACTTCGCTGTTTACCCCCTACTTCCCCAACTCTCCCCTCCTTTTTCTCCTCACCTCGGCCTCCATGACACACCTGCTGGGCAATATTACGGGAGCTGCTGTCCTGCTGGTCAGCAGCATCGTCCATGGGGAGCACCACGCGGATCTGCGAGATCTCATCCCTCCACTCCCCTCCCCCCCCCCTGCTCACCCTACTCTCAACTCCTTCCTCCTCCCCACCTCACCTCGGCCCCCACTAATTACCTGCTGGGCAATGTTTCTGGAGCTGCTGTCCTGCTGGTCAGCGGCATCATCCATGAAGAGCACCACGCGGATATGCGAGATCTCAACCCGCCCTTCCTCCCGCCTACGCCCTCCTCATCCCCCTCATTGCTCCCCTTCGTCCTCACCTGCTGCGCGATGTTGCGCGAGCTGCTGTCCTGCTGGTCGGCCGCATCGTCCATGGAGAGCACCACGCGGATCTGCGAGATCTCGTGAATCTCCTCCACCTTGGCGCCCGTCTCCACCACCTTCTTGAATATGCTGCACGGGAGGGGGATGGAGGGAGGAGGGGGGGTGGGGAGGAGGGATAGGAGGGAGCAGAGAGAAGAGAGGAACCATGTTGTGAGTCTTCTCAAGACTCAGTTTGAGAGTGGATCTCCTCCAAATTGGCGCCTGAACCCACCAACTTCTTGAATATGCTGCACGGGAGGTGATGGGGGTGGGGTGCGGGCAGGAGGGAGCAGGCAACAGGGAGAAGGGAAGGGACGTATTATTAGTCTACTAAAGACTCCAATCGCGAGATCTCGTGGATCTCCTCCACCTTGGCGCCCGTCTCCACCACCTTCTTGAATATGCTGCATGGGGGTTGGTGAAGGGGAGAGCAGGGGGAATGGGTTTTAGGCAGAGAGGAGGAGGAGTCTCAAGACTGCATTTGAGATCTCGTGGATCTCCTCCACCTTGGCGCCCGTTTCCACCACCTTCTTGAATATGCTGGGATGAGGAGGGGCGGGAAGGGGGAGGGGTGGGTGGGGAGAAGGGATAGGAGGGAGCAGGGAGAAGAGAGGAGACATGCTGTGGGTCTTCTCAAGATTCAGTCTGAGAGATCTCGTGGATCTTCTCCACCTTAGCACCTGTCTCCACCACCTTCTTGAATATGCTGGGAGGAGGAGGCGGATGAGGAGAGCAGGAGGATTGGGTATTAGGCAGAGAGGAGAAATTCGATCTCAGAGATGTCGTGAATCTTCTCCACCTTGGCGCCCGTTTCCACCACCTTCTTGAATATGCTTGCATGGGAGGGCAGCGGGTGCACACTCAGTGAAGATCATGACAAGTTACCACAGAAAGGGAGGATACGTGAACGAACTGGATACTAAGGCAGCTACTTTGCCAAGGTTACATACACCATGTCTCTTTATACGTACAGTACAGTTACTCCCACCGTGTCATCTCTCACACATATGACACTTTGCACCCGCGTCATCTCCCACCTGTAAGGTTCCTTGCACCGTGTCTCCACCCTCGCCCCTGAAGTCATGAGATCCAAAAACTTGTCCTTTCGCATTGCCTCCTCTAGCATCACACGTGCCTGGGATGGGAGGGGCGGGGGGGGGAGGGGGGGTTTCAAGGAATGGGACAAGTGTATATACATGAATAGTTACCACAGAAAGGGAGGGATGCTGCTCCAAATGACCAAGTTTCTTTCATGTTGATACTGAACCCATTTAAGGTTTAGAGTTAGCGCTGATACGCACCTCATCCAGAGCGGGTTGTTGCTGCGTGCAGAGGTGCAGCATTCGCTCAGACACATCCAGATACTCCTCGGGATATGCATACCGGAATGACAGGTCCTCCAGCTCCGTCTGATGGGGGGAGGATGAGATGAGAGCGGGAGACAGAAGGTGAGATATAAAACGCTGAAAAGGGTCAAGAAGAGGAGCAGCATGCGCTCAGACACGTCCAGATACTCCTCGAAATACGCGTACAGGAATGGGAGGTCCTCTAGTTCCGTCTGAAGGAAGAGGGTGAGAGAGGGAGAGAGAGGGTGGGTTATGTAACGTTTCAAGAGTAGTGCAGAGGCGCAGCATGTGCTGTGCTGCTCACTCACGTCCAGATGCTCCTCACACAACTCTACCGTCCCGTCCTAAGACGCACCTTGATGTGGTACATGCCGAGCAGGCGGGCGAGGGGGGCGAAGACGCTGAGGGTCTCCATAGCGATGTACTTCTGCTTGTGGGGCGGCATGTGCGTGAGCGTGCGCATGTTGTGTAGCCTGTCCGCCAGCTTCACTATAATCACACGGACCTGTGAGGAGGGGAAAGAAATAGGGCATGGCACAGGATCGCACATCATGTGGTAACCGCATGCATGTCGTGTAATCTGGCAGCTTTCTCATAATCACACGGACCTGTGAGAAAGGAAATAAGGGAATAGAGGAAACTGCCTCACTAATTTGCAGCCTGTCTGCTACCTCTTGCTTCCCTCCACACCGTGGTGCACAAAAAAGCACAACGCACCACTTCTGTCATGACAAGGAACATCTGGCAGAGATCATCTGTCATCCAAGCTACCTGAAAAAGTCATTTGAAACAGCCAACACACCTCTTCCGTCATGGCGAGGAACATCTGGCGCAGATCGTCTGCCTTCACGTCTGCCTTGCTGCCGTCCTTCACCTTGCCCAGCTTCGACACCTGGCAGTCACACACAAGGGGGACACAGGAGGGGGGCATGTGGAAGGGGGGAGGGGGGAGGGTTGTCTGCCTTCACGTCTGCCTTGCTGCCGTCCTTCACCTTGCCCAGCTTCGACACCTGCCAGGCACACAAATTGGGACAGGAAGGGTGTCGACAGCAGCGGGGAGAGTATTACACCTAACAGCTTCTTATCCGGCCAGCAGCACCAAACAGCCACAAGAGTTAGTCCCAGCAGTCCCTCACTCCACCACCACTCACAACCCCATCCACACACCCATCCCCATGATTCTTCCACCCATTCAAATCGTTCGTTTCATTCAAATTCTCCTCGAAATCTTGAGCCACGCACCTTGGTTTCGCCCTCCACAATGCGCCTGACGGCGGGCCCATACGAGGCCTCAATCTGCTCAAAGGACACCACGTCCGTGTCCTCGTGTTCTGAGTCGACTCACAACACATATTCTGAGACACACCTTGGTTTCACCCTCAACGATGCGCCTGACGGCCGGCCCATACGAGGCTTCGATCTGCTCGAAAGATACCACGTCCGTGTCCTCCACTGTGTCGTGCAACAGCCCTGCGACTACTGTCTCCCAGTCCATCTCCTGATTGCAAGCAAGGGGCGGGAGTGGGGGAGGGGAGCGCGACGTCAGCCCATACGAGGCCTCAATCTGCTGAAAGGACACCACGTCCGTATCCTCCACTATACCGTGGCATGTGTGCATGTATCCATGTAAGCATGTATGCATGTGTGCAAGATGGGGTGACCCACCGACCCACCAGCTGGCCCAGTATCCGGGCGACCTCCACTGGGTGTATGATGTACGGCTCGCCGCTCTTCCTCTTCTGCCTGTTGTGCGCATGTCACTGCTATAAGTGCATGTGCGCATGTAGCAAGTACGCATGCATGCATGTGTGCAAGATGGGATGACCACCAACTCACCAGCTGGCCCAGTATCCGGGCGACCTCCACTGGGTGAATGATGTACGGCTCGCCGCTCTTCCTCTTCTGCCCGTCATGCGCCCTGTACGCCAGCTGACCACACAGCATGGATGGCGTTATGGTTGCGCACATAGGGTGGGAAGGGGGTGGATGGGGGAGGAGGGGAGTGCAGAAGTTGTGACGGCGGAGGGGAGGGAGACTTTGAGTGTAGGAAGGAACAACAGTAGCAGAGCAGGCGCAGCTGCACCGGCGGCGGGACGAGAGGCCCAGAACGCGTGAGAAACGAGGGCAAGAGCGCGCGAAGGGAGCAACCCCATGCAAGAAACACACAGCGGGACGATTGTGTTATAGAGATGACAGCAGGAGGGCGAGAGTTAGACTCACTCTCAAGGCGTGGCGGACGACTTGCAGCTGCGTGGGGGAGAGGTACGTGATGCACGGCAGCAGCTCCTGCAGCAGCAGCATCCCCATCCCCACACCCACCCCACATTCCGCACGCATGAATCAGGAACGATGAGTCATCTCAACGATTTGCTCTTTGTTCGGAGCAAGAACAAAGGCCTAACAGAAGCATGCAGCGACGGTGTGGTGTGAGCCAGCCCAGCAGCGCCCGGCACCCCGTTTCTCCAGCACTCTCGCCCTCGCTAGGACCCCGTCGACTACTTTCCCTCCACTTGCGACCCACTCACCTCCCATAGAGTGTCTGGAGTGACGGCGGGAGGTGCAGCGACAGCAGAAGAGGAATCACCACCTGCACCGCCTGGGTACCCTGCAGTGTTGAACGAGGTTACAGCACCATTTCCGTTACTGTTACCAGTTCCATTCGAGTTCGCTATCGCACTGCCTGAATTTCCAGTGACGCCACTGCTGCTGGCATTGGCACTGCTGCTGCTAATTCGACCATTCCCTTCTGTCTCTCCACCATTACTTCTATTTCGATCCGCAGTGTCTGAATCTCCGCTGCTGATGCTGCTGCTGTTGGCGCCGGCGCTACTACCACCTGCCAAACCGCTTTCCCCCGAACCTCCCGATTCCGACTCTAAGAACCTCTCCCCTGCGGATCCTTGGGATCCTCGCGCGAAAACGCGTCTGCGGGAGTAACGCCTGCGACATCCCTGGAAGGGCAACAAAGAGAGGGAAATATGCAAAGATAAGGCCGTTGATAAAGCAGTGGTTTGCGGGTACGATGTTTCGGGGAAGGATTGATGGGTGCGTACTGGTGAAGGGAGAGTGACACGTGGAGGTACGCCGACGCACGACACGCAGCCCTGGGCAGCGCAAATCAGGCACGCGCGGCCGTTCAGCCATCCGGATGTTTGCCTCGCGAAATCTTGACCGTTTGATGCAGAACAATCAGCTGCTGCTGCTGTTGTTGCTGTTGCTGCAGGAGACCGACATTGCAAATTGCGTTGCCGCGTTCGTCCCGAACCTGAGTTCTTAATCTCTTGCGCGGTTCGACGAGCTGATGGAAGGAGGCTCGGACGCAATCCAGTAACCTCTGGAGTGGGAGGTGAATGGGCAGCAGCAGTGCATTGGATAATGAACCAGAGTTAAAGCAGCTGAGGGAACAATCCGATACAAGTCGAAAAAGGAAAACAAAGATACACAAGAATAACGACCCTGTCAGAGAAACCCATATTAGATGTACAGCATAACCTAAAACTGTGAATGTGAGAATACTATGGTCCAGCAGTGAAGAACGGACGTCTATACGGATAAAGACCGAGATCTTGCCGATATAAGACTCTGACGATTCTTTGACCGGAAAGCTTAGGGTGACGTTTTTGGACTGAAGGGTATGGCATACTCGTCAACTGCATCGACTGTATGCAGTGAACCTGATACGGCAGCGCAAAGGATAGGAGAGTCAGAGGAGTGATGAGAACAACAGTGCTTCGGCGACTACCTGAAACGGAACTTGTGATTGCAATCGAACGGTCTGAGATTCCGACACGGGTCGTCATGGCACGTATCAGGAGCGCATCAACCAGTGATGGCACGTGAGGCAGGGAAACCCTAACGATAGCAACCACGGCACGAAGAGAATGCTTGACGCAGGCAGAGGAACCGGACGCCTGAGTAACCTAGTATCAGCGACGCAGCGCCAGGCTAGGTAGATGGGAGCAAATCGTTGCTGCCAAATCTGGACACGTCGTAGGATAACTCTCTCACTTACAGTTACAGATGGTCACACAGCTTTCAATGACAAGAATGACAGAACCAAGGGGGAAAACGAATGGTACGGCACGGTAATACGGACGGATAAATGGGTGGGTGGATTGGAACAAGAGCGCGAGAAAGGGATGCCAGCATGTGAGCTGCTACAGAGCGGTCTGCTTGCCAGAAGAGAATTGACGGACCGGTTAGTTTGGTCTGGTTGCGAGATACAAAAAGATGACACACCACGGAACAGCCGGTCATTGACAGAAACCAGGGTTGTGGTGATGAAACCGAACACTGCGTTATGGGCGAGGTGCCCTCGGTAGAAGACGCTTCACAAACTGTCACCTTTTTCTGGCGACTGCTTCCCCCAGCGCTTCTCTTGTCAGCACATCGGAGAAGGCACCAGCCACACATCTGACGGGTTGACGAGATTATGGTGCCAACTTTTAGGAAAATCGTCAGAATTTGCCACGTCCGCTCAGTCTGAAATGTCCATTAGGATCCTGCTTGAGTGGTTTCCGACCAATGGCAGCAGCATATTTTGACGGAGCAGCAGGGAACAGAACAATCCAACAAGTGATATTTCAGCTCCATGCACGCACTAAGAACAGTTGAAGGATTTTTGTACTCCTATAATAAACCAAACTATTTAATCACCCTGCTCTTTCCACCCTTATCTTTGTGCAAATAGGTTCCCATAGCAAGTGCTCGCTTGGACCAATTCGTCACTTGGACCAAGTGCTAAGTAGAAGGCCTAATCTAATGAACTGGTAAGAATATGGTAATAATCGTACCTCTACAAACATAAGTAATGCGCTGGTCAGTTTGGTCGGTATGCGCGCCTGTAGTGCATGTACCATGTACGACTGGAATGTCTATATCTGCCAAATTACATAGATCCGATAGGTTAAAACATGGTCGGGGGGTGGGAAATGGTATAATTTAAAGGGAAGGAGAATACAGATGGTATTAACTGTATTTGTACACGGAGAATAATGCGTCGGTTGATTTGTTCAGTATGCACGCTTATGTGTAGGTACAACTGAAACTTTGAAATCTCCCAAATTATGTGGATTGGAAAGGTTATAAGCTAGTGTTGTTGAAGTAGAAGGCCTAATCTAGTGGACTGGTAAGAATATGGTACTAACTGCATCTCTACAAACATAAGTAATGCGCTGGTCAGTTTGGTCAGCATGCGCGCCTGTAGTGCATGTCAGGGCCCACGTTATCAGGGCAAAACATCCTGATTACCCTGAATTCAGGATGCACTTCTGTATTTACCCTGCAATTTCAGAATAGTCATAATTTTAACCCTGAGGTCACAGGATGGCCGTAGTGTTCTTCCCTGTAGCGTCAGGATGAATGTCGAGGCCTGCCCTGACGCGGATTTTGGTGGGGGGGGGGGGGGGGGGGGGGGGGGGGGGGGGGTAAGGGGGGGTGTTCCGTTTCGGGGGGAATTTTTTCCCCGAGGATTTTTGTCTCCGTTGAAATTTTCCCCCGTGTACGTTTCCCGCCTTCGCACGTTCTCTTCCCCTTGACATTTCCGATCCCCCGCTACACCAGCCAAGCCAACCCCACCCCATCACCCACCGCCAAGGCAACTCGTCCTCTGCCTGGCTAGCTCTAGCTGGGTTTCTCACGCTGACGTTCAGTAGCACTCCATCCAACACCCTTGCAGTGTTGCTGTTAGAGTAGCAGCAGCACTAGTAGTGAAGTTTGTCAGAATAACTAGCCAAGAATGAATGAACTAACAGAAGTTTGGGTACAAATATGAAACCCTAGTTGGGGTTGTACCCCATATTGGCTACCCCACTACAGCCTACAAGCATAATACAGTTTAACACACCCCCATAGGCAAAGTGGGGGAGCACAAAGGGTCACAAGACCAGTCCAGCAAAGCAAAACAAAGCCCAGGGTGGATCACAACGTCACCACACTCCGAGCACAAGTAAAGGCCACAAGGCCAGTTCACATGCAGTGCTAGATATAGTACAAGACAAGCAACACAGTGATCAAAACCTAGCAAGCAAGCAACAAGATATATATAAAGTACAGTACAAAGAATGTCAAGCAGTGAGCAAGTGAGGAAACGTGGACACAAGGCCTAAAGAAGTACAGTGCCGCTGATGATCACTAGGCGGGAGCGCCTTGGTGAAGATATCAGCAGTGTTGGCCTTCGAGTCCACGTACACAAGCCGAAGCTGACCGCGCTGCTGAAGCTCTCGAGCAAGAAAGTAGCGAAGAGCAATGTGCTTCGTCCTGTGCTCCAGTCTGTGCTCCTGACACAAGGCAAGAGCCGCCTTGTTGTCACCGTACAGAACTGGAGGAGAACTAGGCCGCTCTCCCAAGTCAGTCAGCAGGTAGGTGAGCCAGCGTAACTCCTGTGCAGCCATGGCTGTGGCGTAGATCTCAGCCTCACAACTAGAGCCGAGAACAGAGGAAGAGCGGGTGGACCGCCACGAGACAGAACCTGAGCCAAGGCTGAAGGTGTAACCCTGTGACGACCGCTGCGTAGCCAGGTCGTCCACCCAAGAGGCGTCCGAGTGACCAGTGAGGACAACTCTGTCGCGTCCTCCAAGCACCAGCCCCATGCCTGATGTACTGCACAGGTAACGCAGCACCCTCTTAGCAGCCTCCCAGTGCTCTCGCCTGTGTCTCCCAGGCGCAACGTAACGAGCAAGGATGCTAAGAGGGTACGCGAGGTCAGGTCGCGTGCAAGTCATCAGGTACATGAGGCAGCCTACAAGCTCTGGGTACGGGCCACTCGGCTCTACGGACTCGTCCGAAGGTGGAGCTGAGAGCGAGTGGCTGGTAGCCAGAGGTGTGGCCTGTGGTGAGGAGAACTGGAAGCCGAAGCGCTGAAGGACCTGCTGCACCATGTGTGACTGAGTCAGGGTGATGGTGCGGCGAGCTCTGTCCCGGGTGATCTGCAAGCCAAGGTAGCTACGCAGTTCACCCAGGTCAGTGCAGGTGTGTCTCTTCTGCAGCTCCGACTTCACACGAGCGAGTGCCTCAGTGTCAGCAGTAGCAAAGACCAAGTCGTCGACGTACACGAGAATGTAGAACGGCGGCAGCGACGTGTCTGTGCGCAGAAACAGCGACGGGTCAGCAGTAGACGGCGCGAACCCAAGAGCCGCAAGAGTAGTCCTCAGTGTGTCGTGCCACTCACGTGGCGCCTGGCGGAGACCGTAGACTGGCCGGCGGAGACTCCACTGGGTACCAGGGGGAAACGACCCAGTAAAGCCAGGTGGGCGGCGCAGCCAGATCTCCTCGTGCAGGCTGCCCTGCAGGAACGCTGTGCTGAAGTCAAGAGAGTGAAGCTCGTAGTCACGGTGAGCAGCAACGTGTAGCAGAACCCGAAGAGTGGTCATCTTCGGGGTGGGGGAGAAGGTCTGGAAGAAGTCGACCCCCTGACGCTGACTGAAGCCTCTAGCAACGTAACGAGCCTTGAAGACAGGCGGAGAACCTGGCGGCCGCTTCACCCTGAAAATCCACATGCCATCGACGATGTTCGCCCCAGGAGGGGGAACCTCGTCGACGTAGGTGCCTGTGGACTTCCAGGATGCCATCTCTGCGTCCATGGCTGTCTGCCACTGAGAGAAGTAGGGACCCGAGATCGCCTCTGCGTAAGTGCGCGGAGTGGGGATGTCTAGTGCATCCGGGTCTCCCTCAGGGGCAAGCAACCAGGCCACGAGATGAGGTACAGCAGCCGCAAGAGAGTCAAAGTCCTCCTGCCTGTCCTCAAGGACGTCCGTGCCAAGAGCACACTCACCCCCGACGGACGGAGGACAGACAGACGCAGACTCTGACTCAGCAACAAGGCTAGCAGCGTAGTCTAGACGACAGGCAGCAGCAAAGTCAACCAACTTAGCGACCAGAGCAGACGCAGCCGAGGACTCAAAGGTAGGGTCAGTGACAACAGTAGCGAGGAGACGCGTGACTGTAGGGTGCTCAGTGCGATACCGGTCAGACTCAGGGTCCGGAACGGCAGGCAAAGAGGACTCAGGAGGAGACGGTAGAGGGACACGCCGAGGAGCAGTAGAGGGACGCAGAGTCATGTAGTGAGTGCCTGGGACAGGAGGAGGACGCTCACGACGGACACGACTACCAGTGCGAGCAGGACGAACAGGCGACGCAGGACGAGACTCAGGCTCACGACGCTCTGTAAGACCTCCTGTGGGACCAGTATAAGGAGAGGGAGCAGGGAGAGGCGAGGCAGGCGGTAACTATGACTGCGGCTGGACAGGCGGAGGACACTCTACGGAGGGAGGAGGACAAGGAGGAGGAGCCTGCCCAAGAACCTGCTGAAGGAGCGGTACGAAGTACGGTCGCGGCCGCGCAGCGTCTCCAGAAGCAGAAGGGACTCCAGCGGCCGGGTCCTCAGCACCAGTAGGAGCTCCAGCGTCCGGGTCCACAGCACCAGCAGCAGCTCCACCGGCCGGGTCCCCAGCTCCAGCAGCAGCTCCACCGTCCGACTCCTCAGCACCAGCAGCAGCTCCACCAGGTGGGTCCGCAGCACCAGCAGCAGCGCCACCCCCAGAGTCGGCAGCTCCAACTCCGCTAGCACCGCCAGCGCCAGAGTCCCCAGCTCCAGCAGCTCCAGTCGCAGTGCTCCCAGAACAGCCAGTCCCGGCAGCTCCAGTACCCCCAGTACGAGCACCCCCAGGACGAGCAGCTCCAGCACCCCCAACTCCAGCCGAGCCACTAGGACGGCGAAAGCGTCGGACGTACCAGTCACGAAGCTGCTGCGGTGTGAGAGACTGCTCAGCACCCCGAACCGGAGCACCCCCAGACGCAGTAA